GCGGCTAGGAACCTCTTGGAAACACTCGGAGTGACATATGATGGGAATGATACTACGGCTCGAAGTGTCTCCCCTTGAGCGTAAGCGTTTCTCGTGTCTAAGAGGTGAGATGAGATGAGAGTGATGACTTGAACTTGCTACGTATTCCTTAAATGGCTTTCGTGAGACTTGTTAGTTCTTTGACCTTGTGCGTCTCGATTTATTTGATTTTTAGTTTTTGCTCTTTTTATTAGTTATATCATTGTTGCTACAGTCATTACCGTTATCATAGCTATGGCTATTATATTTGCTATTACCTATACAAATTAACATACACATCGCGATACTACTTGTTCCGCTTTGCTCCAAAGGATCGAATGTGAGTTGGCGCGTCTACTTCGATTTTGTATCTTGAGACAAGATTCTTTGGCGAGTTTGTATTTGCCTTGTTCCGTTTTCATAGCATCATTGCTTGCTTGGTATCTTCTTTTCGTCTCTTTACATAACACTGTGATCGTATGCAAATTCGCCTATTTATAATTGGAAAGTTTGTTTTGCTATTCAGGTATGAGGTAACAGTATTCTTTTCTTCACTGCGGTAGACTTCACCTCAGGGCCATGAATAGTATAACCATCTCTCCCACCCTAGATGTAACTAACCTTTAAACGAAATTTCCGATTTGCAAGTCCGAATTGATAAAAGCAAAGCCGACCTAAAATACGAGCTCTACACCGATATACTATCAGTTCCTTTGTAAGATCTCATATTACATTCATAAAAACAAAAATACATCACTCACAGGTATGAATCCCTCTTTGGTGGAATGGATAGAGTGTAGTGTATTTTGTTAATTATCCTACTAAAGGAATTTATTCCGTATCTCTTTTTTGTATGAAATCTGGGGAGAAATCTGAGGAGCAATCTTGGGGGAAATCTTGGGGATAGTGGTTATGAATTTTTGACTAGTAGGATCACCAGATCTGTGTGTATTTTGATTTTTTTATGGTGGGGACGGGAGTGAGAGTGAGAGTGAGGAATTGGTAATTCTAGAAATATGTTAGTATGTTAAAGAGATGAAGGATAAGATGGGATGGGATGGGATGGGGTTTAGGCTTTGAGAATCGGGATGTGATGGATGGATGGATAGAGAGAGGAATATATAGAGAGAGGAATGGTGTCTGCTTGGGAGATAGACGGTTTTGTAGTTGTGGATGGAGATATTGTTGGCTAGGGAGATTTAAGATAGACTCAAGGTAGGTTATTGTGTATTTGAATCAGATTTTATTTCTACATTATCTCTTTCCTTAATTCATTGCTTCATCTTACATATGTGTACACATAGATCGTATCATCTAAATTATAAAATAAGCAAACATTCCAATTCTCTTCAATCCCCACCTACTTCCCCGGAATCTCTTCAGAAACCTCTTCACATCTAAGGTAATTCCATAAACAACTTCAACAACTTAGGGTAATTTGGAGTTCCCAATCCAGTCGCTGGATCCCATCCCTCGACCGCTGCAAAACCCTCTGTTCCACACCCAACATTTGTTCCATTAACAATATCATTTAACGCTCCTGGGTTTTTATAAAGCGTTGGGTTAACAAATCCAATTGGTCCCTTGCCCTTTGCGAATCTCTCTTCATTGATCAAAGTAAAGACCGATGCGAAGAGTGGAGATGCAAGACTGGAGCCATACCAATGCTCATCGATACCAGCAGTATACGCTCTAAATTCTGCACCATTGGCGGCAATATCTGGGTAACCACGTCCGATACGGTTGTAGATACCTTTTGTGGTGTTGACGTTGACTTCAAATTCCGAGTAGTATGGATATGTGAGGTTAGCATTTTTGAAGTATTTCTCTACTGCAGATTTTTGGTAGGATGGTATGGGGAAATAGTTGGAGAAACCACCTGCGCTGGTGAAGTTTGAGGCGGTACCGCCGAGATTGACGTGCATGACGGATTCGGCATCATTGACAGTTTGGTTGGCGTAGAGCATGGTTCCGCCAACGGAAGTGATGTATGGACAGTTACCGGGGTATTGGGGGTTGAAGATTTTGCCCTCGGGACCGAGACATCCATTTGCGTTGCCATCGCCAGGGAAGGAAGAAACTCCATAATCACCGGATGCAGTAAGGATTGAGTGACCTTGAAGACCGAGTTTCATGAATTCGTTGCATTGACGTTTTGTATAGGCAATTGGAAGATCAGCTTCGGCTTGACCATAGGATGCAGAAATGACCTTGGTAGGTTTGAAGATTCCGCATTGTCGCGTTCCATTGTAGCCACCAGGTTGGGGATTAGGGTAAACGGGATCAATTGATGGGTCATCTCCGGTCTCGCCGTATGCACTGTAGCTGCAGTAGGACTAAAGGAAGGTTAGCGATGGCTTGATTGTAAAAGTTGATTAACTTACTCCGTCAAGTGCATCAAGGAAGGTATTGAACAGATTGGTCGTTGCAACTTCTTGTGGCTCGTAGATTTGATCATCCACTTGGTAGAGGGTGACAGTCTGGGGATAGATAAGAGCAAATGCCATATCGATGTCGATGTCAGACTCGCCTTCATTTAGTTTACTGGAGGCAGGGACTGAGAAATTTGCACCGTCGATGAGTGCCGGGATGGGGTATGTGCCTTGAGGGACCCAAGGAGCGTACTCTGCATAGAAGAGATCGAGATCTGACTTAGCAAAGTAATCTCCTTGCTCGTATAATCCGAGAGAGTTGCCTGACGCATTTAAGGTGGCAGTAGGGATTTTGTACATGGCCTTGATGCAAGTGGGTGTCATGTTCGAACCACAACCTTGAAGGTCGCTTGGAAGATTGGCAGCTGAAGGTGGTGTCCAATCATAAGTTTGTGAAGATGGATTACCCTTTGCAAGACGATTCTTTCTCTTGGAAAGGTAAGGTGTGGATCTCTTGGTTTTCACGCTTCTCTTCTTGACTGGTGCAAGCTTGACACCAGGTGTGATGTAATCAATATGTGGTACGAGATGCTCTGGAAGATGGTATCTGGAGTCAGGTTAGAAGAGAAATCTTTCAAAAGTATGATGAACAACCCTACTCATCACATCCGACCCGAACACTTGAACTAAATTTATGTTCGTGTTCATGAAACTCGGCATTGAGTAAACGTTCGGCTTCTTCCACCGAAGCATCAAAAGCTAACCACCCTTTATTTTCATAATGAGAGATTCGAGAACGATGAATTCCGGACGAAGCAAGCCAGGCTTTGACCGACTTAAGAGTTTCCTCTGGAGGGGCGAACTTGTCGTGGACTTCTTTTGGGGACCAATATTTGCCATAATTAGCAGATTCTGGATCAGAACTAAAAGTTGTTAGCATCAATTGGCTCCTCCCTCTGGTGCAATTCAACGAGAGACTTACAGCTCCATAAGGTATTCATAGCCATTGTCAAGATTGGTTTGTGTCAAACCAATTCTCATTGGCACAATTGCACTTCCTTCCAATCGGGAGCCCTTCACCCAATCCGACGGTGGTGCATTTCGCTTTTCGTGCACTACATGCTTGACTGAGGAGGGGGCAGCATTTACAATTGCTGCAATGGCAAGAGAGACAACAGATACTGGTACCAACATGTTGAAGTCCTGAAAGAGAAGACAGAAGCGTGAAGAAGATCATGTTGAAAGGAGCAGAAAATGGCCCTTTTAACTTGTCCGGTGATCGACCATTTGGTCGTATAATTTTGAGATGCAATCTAATTTTCCATGATAATATGCAGTACCTCCTGCAGCTTTCCATGCTTGATATCGGATAAGAATGATAGCTACTCGTGCGGCCAGAAAGTATGCAACTCCGGCGCTATGGATACCAGGTTAGTCCTCTTGTAGTTTACCATCTTGTGATATGTGCATCTAGCGTCGGAGTTGCATACTTTCTGGCAGCACGAATATGGATCTCGTATATTGTGTCGATATCTAATCGGGAAGGTCGTAGAGCGGGGAAAGCATTGAACCCCATCTTTGCTACCTTACCAACAATGATTGGCGGGATTGACCTTATTGTACCTGAATGAAAAGCTTATCATGTCGGTGAAGATAGGATGCGGTCCATGATGTTGGACAAGCTTTCATAAGCTTTCATTTTCCGAAAGCTTGTTCTTTGCCTTTTACCTATGTCAATTACTTGATTCTTGGCTATAAGCAGAGACAACGGTGCAACGGCGCAACGGCGCAACGGCAATGGCACGATCAGAATATTCGTGAGATGGCTGTGTGTTAAAATTGTGATGGTTGAGACAATCGAGCTTTGCGTGAAGCATACCTGGGAGAGTCATTTCGAACCAAGTGAAAGGGCGTTTTCCCTAACCGGACGTAGGTACCTAATAAGTAGGTAGCTAGCTTATACTTTGAGAGCTGCAATTCGTTTGCGATAACCTTAAGACCAGGGATCAAATTTAAATGTTGTCTTCGTAAATCTTGACGACAAAGTTGATCGATCCATGTCCATAATCTAACCCAGGCTGTTAATATTCGATTCGGAACGAGTTTGTGATTGTCCCAGGAGTCCAAAACATCAAGTCTGAATCGTCCGAAGAATAATAATATCAGGACAGCAATGTTTCACCGAACATTCTTGAGCCACAACCACAGCCACGCCACACGCGAACAAGCGGCGCTAGCATCTTATCCGCAAATTGTGTACCTAGGTAGCGACATATTACGCGCACCGGAAAGGAAACAATCTCAAGGTCACTGTTTGATTGAAACATGGAGCATTCTTTTCTTTTCTAGAAAATTAAGTTCTGGAAAGAGGGGGATATTTCTTCATACATCAATATCATGAAGCATCTGGATCATCTCCAAGAGATCCTCGAAAAGAAATCGCGAAAGTTGCGGAATTCCACCTACTAAACACGGGTGAGAACGGAACAACGAAGAAATTGTGAGTCAGTATGCTTGTTGTCATATCCATATGTCAGAAGTCTTATAAAGTAAGTCATCGACCTTAATCATCTTAGACACTCAACTCCTTCCCCCCACAAAAAGAATAAAATGTCTCTTTCCATGTTCACTGTTTCGAAATTGCTTGTGCCTACTGCTGTTGTAGGGTTGGGTATCACTATATATCTTCAAGATCGCCCACTGTCGGCCGCAAGGACGGCCACAATAACATCATATCAACAATTATCGCCCTCCTTTGCCAGCAGCTCACAATCGTTTTCTTGGATAATCAATCCAAGGAACCATATCAGTATTACAGATTCTTACAAAATTCGATTATCTGAAGCCGACATTCGAAATAGGAGTGATGAAGAAATTTTGGCAACATTGACCCGTGGATTCTTCGCAGGTTGGATTTTCACCCCCGAAAGATACCTCATAGCATCATTGCAATCTCTTGGTATGAAGTTTATACCTTGTGGGTATTCAAGTCAGTATTTTTTGCAATCTTCTGTCAAGAACAATACTCAAAAAAAGACACAGAAATATCTCCAGGACCAATCTTGGGATTAGATTCATTATCCGCTAAAAAACTACCTTCAAAAGATTCTCTTCTTTTTGGCGGTAATTTTATGGTTCTATTCACCAAGACCGAGGATGATCGATCTCGAGACTCTCCCAGTTGCGTTGAGATTGGATATGGAGATGATCGCAAACAATTTTCGGGAATGCATAGTTTTGAGCTCATTCATGAAAGAGATGGAGCTACAATTTGGTATTCCAGTGTATCATGTAATCCAACTAATAATAAGAGGCCTTTTCCAAATTGGGTATTTGCATTTCATAGATGGTATGCAATAACCTTATTTAGGGATGGAATTGCAGCAGTGTTGGCGACAGAATGAATGAAAGAGCGTTAATTGCAAGTAGTACCTAGCTTGCAGGAGAGAGAAGAGAAGGGGCAACTCACCATCGTGTATCAATTTTGTAAGCCTTCTCAAATTCACCATATAATTACTGTTTAGGCAGTCACTATTCCAACATATGCGGCATCTTTTCCTATTTTCACTCACCAAGCATGATATCAAACTTTGTTGCACCAAACAAGAACTTGGCAAGAGCGATCGTGTTCCAAGCGACGGAGTTCTTATTTATACAAAAGCTTCATCTCCCCATCATCTCATTCACAAGTCTTACATACAATTCTTATGACACCCTATATATACTGGATAGTGAAGTCATTATTACACATCTTTTACAAAATCACTCAAACCCAACCTAAGCACACATCATCATCCTCTCACAGAAAAAAATCAGAAAAATCATGACAATTACAAGTTCAACCGCATCTGCCCAAAAGGCTCTCGACATCTTTTGGGAAAACAAACTCTCATCTAATGAAACAATCACCCGACGTAAGCTTACCGTTTTACTATTCAGAAAAGATTTACATCTTACTGACCACTTTCAGCTCCCAATGTTCTTCCTAAACATATATACGAACGTCTGATCGGTGAAAAGAAACCAAGCAGCGTAGTCTCTGGATGTAGCGTCAATGTTTCATACGATGTAGCTGTGAAACAATGCGAAGCCAAGGTTGCAGCTATTGTAGCAGAATGCCAACGCAATAATACTAAATACAGTGACAAAGATTTTAACCTCGACGATATGGAGTATTGCCTCAGATCTCTCACAGTTACAGAACCAGACTCAGTGAGTGGAGGAGAACATATTAGATTAAGTTCTCCGAAGAAACCCACGACTACGAGGGCAGTCATACGAGCAGAAACCTTCGATTTGACCGCGACTAAAGGGCGAGAGCCTGCTTGTGCAAAGAGAATAAGTGAGATATTCGATGTCCCGACATTCTTCATTGGTCATGAAGCCCATGTACAAGATATACGACAAGGATCAGAAGGAGATTGTTGGTTCATATCTTCTCTGGCATGTCTCACTGTGGACGAAGCATTTCCACGACTTATCGACAAACTTTGCCCGAAAAAAGCACGAAACGAAGAAGTTGGTGTGTATGGATTTGTGTTCTATCGTGATGGAGAATGGGTCTCAGAGATCGTTGATGATAAACTCTACCTCACCAATCCTGATTACGATGATTGCAATGATGATAGAAGATTGGTGTGGGATCGTTCTCATGGAAGACTTGACCCGGAAGCATCTCGTGCGGACTATAAGAATACTTTCCAAACCGGCTCGGATGCACTGTTCTTTGGTTCTTGTGCTGATCCAAACGAAACCTGGGTACCACTCATTGAGAAAGCATTTGCCAAAATCCATGGCGATTATGATTCAATTAGTGGGGGATGGCCTGGGTGAGCATTACTGTACTGCACTCATTCCATAAATATGATACTGATCAATCAATAGTGAGGGTGTCGAAGATCTCACCGGTGGTGTTTCTACCCAATTTCTTACCGCTGACATACTGGACAAAGATTCTTTCTGGACTGAAGGTCTTTTGAAAGTCGGCAAGGATTTTATATTCAACACTGGTACAAGGGATTACAATCATCCTGATCCATATCAACTTGGAAGGCAAGGTATCGAAGATGATCATGCTTACTCTGTTCTTCGAGCGGTTGAATATCAGGGGAATCGTCTTTGCCTCGTGAAAAATCCTTGGGGTGAGACTGAATGGAATGGCCCATGGTCAGATGGGTCTAAAGAATGGACTCCAGAAGCACTTCAAGCACTAAATCATAAGTTTGGGAATGAAGGTATCTTCTGGATGCCTTATGAAGATTTTCTCGATCGATATGATGAAATCTGGAGAACGAGAATATTCCATTGTGATTGGTTCAATTGGCACGTTGCCCAACATTGGACGACTATCAACGTACCTTGGTCCGGAAAGTGAGTGATCCAATTGTTGTACCCCGTTTTCTCCTCTGGATTCATACAAGTATCATCGTACTGACTCTGTAGTTACAATGAAACCTCATTTCACTTTACCATTCCAGTCCCAACCACAACAGTGATAGTTCTCTCACAACTCGACACTCGTTACTTTAGTGGTCTTACGGGTCAATATACTTACTACGTCTCTTTTCACCTCCATAAACCAGGTCAAGACTCTCACATAGTTCGCGGCTACTCTAGTGGTGATCGTTCCGCTACGACTGAAATTTTTCTTGAAGCCGGTACTTATGAAGTTTATCTTCAAATAACCGGATATCGCGATGATACACTTTCGAAGATCGAAGACGTTGTCAAGGATAATTGGCTTGCTAGAAGAGATAAACTGATCCAAATTGGTTTAAAGCATGATATGGCCTATGCTAAAGGTGTGATCCAGGAGAAAATTCCGAAGAAGGTTAAGAGGATATCTCTCGCTACACCGATTACTCTTACCACTCCTTCAATACTTACACCTCCTCCAACTCCGCTCCCAGCGCCAGCTCTTCCCATTCCTAGTGACCAAGCAGATATGTCCAAAGATGCTTGGAATGCATCATGTGTTGTAGGCCTCAGAATTTACACGAATGAGACGATAGCATCGATTGGAATAGGAAAAGTAGCGGATGCAGTCAACGTTGAGACAAGTCCAGATTTGACAAAGAAGGAACAGGGTATTCGTAAGCTTTTCTCTACACTTGACGATACGTTTTCGAGTAACTTACGAAAGGTCAAGATCAAGACGAAAAAGAAAACTTTTCGGATTAAGTGGAAATTCAACGATAAGGGGTGGAAGGAGGAGATACTGTTCGGTAGTGGAAAAAAAGGATTGTGGGATGGAAAGGTAGGCGCAAAAAGGCAGACGAAAAAAGAAAGGAGAAGGGAGAAAAAGAGGATTAAGAGAGAATTCAGGGAGTAAATTGATTGAGAAGGTAATGCCTCTCTCATTGGGTTGGTGGAAAATTTGATTTGCCTAAAGCAGAATTTTGTAACTTTCATCAAAAAATCAATAACATCGAACCTTTACGCTGACATCAAAAACACACTTTCACGAAATCGATCTGTGGTCGATAGTGAAATCTATAACCGGGATTCCATCAACACCAACAAATTCACATACTGTCCATGTGAATCAGCACTGATTCACCCAGAGTACTTGAATGTTTGACGTCAAGAGTAATTCTTAGACCGATTCCACAGTATCTGCAGACTTTTCATTACTGATACCCACTATGTTACCGAAATTTTGGGAGACCAGCCCGTCGGGACGTGACCAGGTCTTCTAAAAAAAAAAGGATCTCCAGAATTACTGAGTACTTTCAAGTATGTCTTCAAGCAGTGGAAACATGATGTTGGAAACTAGTTTCTGGGACAATTTATAAAATTTATAAAAGAAAAGGAATGATCCATCATTGGTATCTCATTCCACATCTATCACATCACACATCATAAACCACATTCCACGATCGATATCTCATTTGCATTTACATATTGAATTTACATTGGTCAAACAAGGAATACATTATACAAATATTTCATTAATCGCACCGATTCGCATTCAAAATGGCACCTTCAAACTCGCATTCGAATTCCTCATCTCAACCTCGTGGTTCTGCTTCGAAGGTGATGGCTGTGAAAGAATCCTCGAAAAAAGGACCTAAGCCATCAAGATACACACCACCCGGAACACCCGAAGAATCAACCGAATCATTACGGGCCAATTCAAAAGCTGTCAAGAAGAAGACGGTTCCTGTGAAGAAACCGGAAGGGAAAGAAAAGGGTTATGATGCTGATTCAGAACGGGATAATAGGTATAAGCTTTTTATTCAGAAGAAGAGTGGTGGGAAGAATAAAGTGGCGCAGGTTTATAGGAGGGAGGATGGGATTTGGGCGACGGAGACGGGAAATAAATAGAGGGAATGTGAGGGATGGGGGAGTGGAGTTTGGTAGATGAAACAATGGATGTATATGTAGCTATTTAGTGGCGCTAAGGGGCTAAGGGGCTTGTAGAATTATATAAAGGTTACGCCTTCATCTTGTGCATACCTTTTTCTCTGGAATTTCCAGAACCTATGTGTATCATGGAACTGGTTATAGTTTTAAGGTTCGTGCGAAATTTTTGATGTTCTCTCATTTAGTGAAATGATCAAACAATCGCTTTTGTGAGATTGGAGAAGCTAATATCTTCGCTCATAGCTGTTTGTTTGGATTTTAATGTTAAAGTTCTGGTAAGAGTGTGAATAGAAGATATCAGAAATAGTGGTCATGAACACGATCACAAAACTTGACATCTCATATACGGAATCAATCTTAGATATATAGTTTAAATTCATCGCCTGAAGAATTACCATTACTCCTATCTATCTCATGAATGCGAACTCTAGGATTAACAATTTCAAGTACCATTATTCATTCTTTCTCTTACACTTTTTCCGCGGTGGGATCTAAATGCCTCAATGCACTTCCCGTTAGATACAAACTTCCCGTGACTAAACATTCCATAGCATGGTTTTGATAGCCGATCTTTGTGGCTAAGTCGAGTGCAGCTGCATTGTTTGGTTCGAGGAGAATACTGGAGTTTGGAGACAGTTTTTGCCATGTTTGAGCGTAGGAACGCATGGCGGAGATGTCTGAGTCTGTGATTTTTGAGGCTGGGGCAGGCATGTTAGTATTGATTGGTTGCATGCGAGAGAATCAGAAGAGGGGAAGGAAATAGAAAGTGGTGAGAAAAAGAAATACTTACTATCATCCCAATCTGTTGTAAAAATGACATGTTTAACTTTGCACCTATGCTTGTCCAACGCCTTTGCAAGACTCTCTACAACTTTCTCTCCATCTCCTCTTGCCCGATGCCCAAAAACAACTACCTTTGGATTTCCCTTCTCCTCGCAATTGAAAACTGTTTGTTTCAACCTTCTAATCGCATACGAGAAAGGAGAAAGCGTTGCTTCTTCACAAACACTCATGGCAAACCATTCTGCAGCTTTGGGGATCGTTTGAAAATGATGCGCACCATCGAGAAACCAGGAATTCTGTCCTACTTCTAGTCTTTGAAATCGGCCGGGCCAGAAAAATCGATCGAGTCCGATTGAGATATCTTCAGAGGAGAGAGGTGGATATTTTTCGCTATAGAGAGATAAGAGATATGCATCTGTGAGTGCAAGTGCAAGAGAGCATTCGGATCTCTTGATGTCGGTTTTGAGTGCATGGGCGGTGATTGGAAGACGATGATCCTCGGTTACGAAGTTCAGCGCGGCGCCTTTTTCATTGGCACGTGTTTCGAGAACTTTTCCTATCTCAGGACCTTGAGGAATGGAAAATGCAGGAGCGTCAATTTTCATAATGCCTCCTGCATGCCAAGCTAAGTCTTCAGTAGAAGGGCCACCTTCTTCAATATAATCTGCGTTGATTTGTGCGATGCCTACAGCTGTTGGCTTGACAAAATTTGTAGCGTCCGTTTCTCCTCCACAATGAGTTTCCATGATCACCACATCAACGTCTTCTCCCATGAATGTATAGATAGCGACCAACAACCTCAATTGCATGAAATCCGGCATCATTGTCTCAACAAATTTGCTGGAAAGAATCTCCCATACCTGGAAAAAATATCTAGCAAATTTATCTTCTGACACTGGCTTTGCGTTGATCTTAATTGGCTCACGGATGTTAGGAGAGTAGGGATTGGTGTAGAGCCCAATTTTTCTCAAGACACCTGTCCTAGAAGCATGAGATGAGAGGAAAGATTTGACGAACATGCAAGTAGATGCTTTGCCTTTCGTTCCCGCAATGTGAATCACGTTGAATTCTCGGTGCTGTAGGGATAGTCAGAAAATATCTCCAGTATCGAAAGAGACTACTCACAGTATATCCAAGTGCTTCAAGCCACTCATTCATACCATCATTGCCGGGCTTGGTTGGATTGCCTCTTGGTGTACTGAGTCTGTTATTCTTTGGCTCTGTGGAAGAATCTTCTCCGTCACTACTGCCACAACCTGTTCTCCTGAGTAGTTGAGAGGCTCTGCTACGTCTATTAGGCTTAACACGGTCTTTTCTGCTCTCGAGTAGTGAAATGGCGTTCTGATCATCGTTAGTATATCTTTTAATAATATCAATAGGGAACCTACTCTGTACGATCGCTCCATTTTGCGCCGATTTTTTATTTTTACCTCAGCTTGCGTGGGTTGCAGCAATTGAAAGAAAGGGAAAAGCCAAGCAACAGACAGAGTTTGAGGAAATGTAGTGTCTTATCCCAACACATGACGTCGATTTAGGTCTTGTTGGGCAGGCCGCACTTTTCACATTGGCAAGCAAGGCAACGTCACTGGCTAGGCCATTCTTTACTATATTGCACCACTATAGACCGTGGAGGATTCGATGATTGGTCTTAGATGGTCTTTTTAATGGTGAGGCTCAGTGAGTTGCAAGACATTTCGCCATTGAAAACGAGAATAATAAACGCCTAGGCGTGTAGGATTGTTGGTGGAAATGCAGATGTGGTCTATTATCTGACGAGCCTGGGTCGGGGCCCAAACTTCACTGCCCCATGCGAAGGCCAACGATTCTTACAGGATAGATGTTGTGAGAATGAGCCGCGACTGTATTGATTAACGTCCAATAGGATAGAATCCCATCGTTCTGAAGTGCGGTCCAACAAATCCCCCAAACAGAATGTATGCACGTTCCTTTCAGCCCTGTAGGGTTTCGCGAGGATACCTGAAAGAATCGTGGAGACCCTAATTTTTTAGCGCACGCTGAGAATTAGTAAGCAACGGAAACTATATCGGCCCAGGCTCCAACGCGAACTTCACTCCTCGACACAACTACACAACACAGATTTATGGTCACAAACCTCAAGAAGATATGTGTGAAAACAACGATTAAACTATTTGATCGAAGTTGTATATTATGGAAGCCTGAGACATTCGAGGTGCTTTAGATCTCACCCATCAAACACATCCACCAAATCCATGAGCCCTCCCTCCAGGTCAGAGCATGATGAGTAAGTACAATATGTGAATCACCAGGAATCAGCTCTGTCTTACTGAGAAATTCCACCAAACCATTCGGCGAAGTTCATTCTAAAAGAGTCCCCGACCAAATTCACCATCCTGCTAATATTCACAGCCGGTATCTCTAGCCAGCACTGCACGCATGTATTTGGTGCCAATACCAATTTGCACTGAGCTCTTCTCGAATTTCGAGGATCTATTCCATTCCGTATCACAGGGTTTCCGAACTGCGACTTTCGACAAGGAAGCATGAATCGTCCACCTTCAATTCTTCACATCCGGTAATTCGAATCGAAATTTTGATACACTTTACAAATCATCAAAAATGTCAGCCCCCTTCTTACGGGAGCCTGTAGAGGTACTTACAAAACTTGTTGTGTTCCTGCATAGACTGCAATATCTCTGATTGAGAATCGTATTCTATCTTAGGAAACTACCCGGTTCTGAAGTACATTACTTAACATCCAGAATTGATGGTAAGTTCCTTCCCCATAAGCAGTTTACAAGACCGATCACCTGTAATATGTTGTTCGTTCGGGTGGCAATAGTCAACTTGTCAGAGTTGTGACACCAGAAATATCAAGGTTGAGAGTCAAGAGTAGGTGACTGCCCTATCTCTGTCCTTGAACAGAAGGTTCGTCTGGAACTGCCATAATTGAGGGGGGGTTTTTTGTTGAGGAATGTCCGGAATTGTATTCGGGAAATTTTTCTGTGGTGACTATGTGGCTATCATCTATGAAAATCAACTCTATGTCTAAGGCTTTCATTTCACAGACGTCCAAACGAGATGTGTGAGCTGCTACAGATCAGATCATGGATACAGTCCATTACCAACATAGCCATCGTGCGTCAATTCTTCGAGTTCCCGGCTTGTATTGACACAACAGACAAATTGTGTTACTCAAGCATTCAACTTGAATCTTGGAATATGGAAAACCAAAATGCCATTCAACCCCACAATCAGTCTTCTGTTATACAACAACGGGTTTTCTGTAACCTTAAAAGTTGAAACAAAGCATGATGTACACGGGGTGGAAGCACAAATGACGTTCAAATGTCGGAAGGGATAGAATGGTTTCACTAGTCATACAATACACAACGACTTTGAGGCATTTTCGAACTTGAAACGAAAACATCATACGAGATTCTGATGATCCATACTTGTGTATCATTGATCGAATCTTGGTTGAGATAATCTCCCAGCTTTCGTCATCTACATTGAACTACGAAGTGGTACAGGAGCTTTCTATGTCAACTTCTATTACAAGGGTACTATAACGATGATGTGATGCTAGAAACAATTTTCTGTTGAAAATCCTCCCAAACCACCACACTCTTCGATGATAGGACGGGTATCAAATATCTGGTATATCAAAATCCCAAAGAGTAGTTTTGAACAAAACTATTCAGACGCCACCAAAGCACAAGAAACAGTGCCCTGATATCCAGTAGCCTGTGTCATTCCCATACTGCCACCCGTAAGGTGACAAGCACAGCAACCGACACATCCGCTGATCGTTCATTCCTCTTCCGATTCTTCTTCTTCTTCTCGGGATTCGTAATTTGCAATCAATGTGCAAATTTGAGACTCCGCATATGAGTGTGCTCTTCGAGTTGCTTCCTCTCTATCTTCGCCGTGCTTCAATGCATTGTTGATTCGTGTTTCGATAATTTCCTTGATACCCACCTTACGCGCAAGCGCATTATAATACAGCTGATCTCGATCTAGATTATCACCCTTATATTCCAAAGTCTCGGGACATACAACTGTGGGGATCTCAACTGACACTGGCGCTCCAGATTTGCAAATTTGCCACTTTACGTATCCTGTCGGCGTGTGCGAAGAGGCGCTGGTAGAGGGAAATTGTACCACTGTCGGCTCGAAGCAACCATTCTTGACCTTCAATTTCACAATCAACTCAGGCTTAAGAGTGGCAGGTATAGATGCCCGAGCTCTCGTAGATCGAATCTTTGGTGGAGGTGATTGTAAGTTCTCCAGAGTAGGTAATTCATCAGCCCTATGAAATTCAGTCGCTCGAGCCTGTTGAACAAGGTTCAAAACAGCTTTGGATATTTGCGCGGCATTGGTACGAAGGTTCGCATGAAGTTGTAATTCTCTCTGAAATCGACATTCTAAGGCTTCAAGTGTGTGGCCTTCACCTCTCAACGCGTTGAATCGCTCCTCCGCCGAACGATGGATTTTCGCAAAACGTGCTAGCAGAAATGTTAGTATTGCTGTTGTTTCATCCTTCTTTCCTCCCAATCTGGAAAGTGGTTTACCAGCCATTGTGTAGTAACACTATTGGTTGTTGGTTGACCAGTATAAAATGAAATAAAGTTATATAGGGAAGTGTTATCTTCGAGATAATTGATCTGGCTCAGGATATCGAACAATGGAGATAGTAATTCCTGGTACTTGTCGGTATAGGTTCGAAAGTCTGCGACTGGCGAGCCCGGTGTCTCCTCAAGTCAGCAAAAGGATGATATATCTTATGATGGTATGCCTGTCGTGTTTTTGCGCAGCCTTGTTCTCTTTATGTTGCTCGTTATGTCGAAAAAAAATGGAGGAAAGTCAGTCGCAAAAGTCGTGCGCTTTATATCCATTTAGCAGCCGTATCGTTATCGAGATTCAATAACAGACTGTCCATTGGCGACGAATGGCCGTAGTACGTGAATATGCTGTAGAATCAATGTTTTTGCTTCATTCACTTTCAATATATGGTTAGGCCAATTTGAATGGACGACGACAGCGACTGAAGTCAGAAGCGTGTCTCGAGTGAATATTTGACTTTCCAGTGCAGCACGAAGGGACACATATCTGGGATATCAGAATCGTCACTTCAGACGATAGTTCATTAAACGTTTTGGACGGTTTTGACGGTTTTGGACGAGATTTGAGATGCCCAAGAACCAATCTCGAAAGTGGTCATGTTGATGGCTGGAGAGTTCCATTTCCAGGGAGCATTGCCTCCCCAATACTGGAGACTCTAACGCTCTCTATAAGAGATTTCTTCATGGTGAACATTCAGAAATGCAACATAAATCTGAACATCAGAATTCCGCTCGTTATTGCTGTAATTTCGATCCTGTGTGACAATTAATGTGGCGGTGAACTTTTCGATTCTTGAGATCTGTGAATGTGAATGTTCTGTTTCAAGCTGCATATTTTTGAACATCAAGCTTTATAATAACGAGCCGATGCTCCGTATCGATGACTAGTGGATCATAGCGAAATTAGAGGACTGAAAAGCATCACGAATTCTTCGCTTCGGAGGAGGGAGTGTACAAGAAACACAGTGAGATCCTGACGTTACAATAGCGGCGGGGTAAACCAAGATGCAGATACGATTAAGCAAGTCCATTGCGTGATTAATAGTCTATAAGAATGCATCAAGATCCTTTCAAATTACAGATCCTTTATCTCATCCACATTGATCTCAGTTTCAAGACATTCCATTTGCTTTATTCGATCCAGAAACCCTTCCATATGTTCCAAACAGCCAGCTATTCTCGAACAAATCCAGAATATTCTATTTCCTTCACAATTCAAATAGTCATATCATACCCCACTCCCCATATTAATCCCTATCATCAATTAAAACTTCACATTTTATCCGCTTCTCCCCAATACCACGTATCATCGCTTCCCATCTCACTTTCCTTCACGGAAAATCCATTCCCCAGATATTTGAACCTGTTGTCCCTTGAATCGTCCTTTCTCCTCCATTCAAAATCCTCCCACCGAGGCGCCTCCAACATATGGAAAAAATGCGCCTGACTTCCCGGATGCAGCGCCAAAACTGGTCCTTCACTTTTTCCATTGCGATACCAACTTCTTACTCCCTTATCTGTCCATACCGTTCGGGGCATAAATTGCGCTATATGTTCTGCGTAGTCTTTTACTGCTGCGGGTAGAGGTCTGAAGGACGAAATTGACTGGAGTTGACATTTCTGGATGAACTTTAAAGCGAAAGCACTGAGTTGTTCTGTTATTATGGGAATGGCACCGTGTGCTAATGGACCATTGGGACCGAGGAATGCTGGACGGCGTTAGCTTGTAGGCAAGAGGGGAATAAGTTGGGAGGGAGAACTTACTGATATAATTTGGCATTCCGGGAACCATACATGACATATACGCTTGACTCGGATTATCTCTCCATAGATCCTGCAAGTTTCCATTCTCTCCAATGATCGGAAAACGTGGAACGAAAGAGCAGTTGAAACCCGTAGCACAAACTATTGCATCGACCTCTATGATTTCACCATTTGTAAGCTTGATGCCGTTAGGTTGTATTTCTTCAATACCGGATGTGATGACGTCGACATTTGGTTGTGTTAAAGCTTTCAGGTAGCCAACACCTGGTGTGACTCTTCTGCATCCGACAGGGAAATCGGGAAGTAAGGCTGCGATGAGATGTTTGTCGTAGTTGAGCGCTTCGGCCATGTACAGAGAGATGACGCGTTTGGCTTCTAGTGCTTCGGGACTGCCTCTTAGGATCTATGGTTTAGGGTTAGCGTTTATTGATGGGTAAGTTCGGCAAAGCACTTACTGTCTTGAATCTTTTGTTCGATAAGGATTCAATAGCCTTAAGAAACTTTGTGTATTTTATTGGATCTTCGCGAAATTTCTGGATTTGTTTCTCGGAAAACTTGTGCGCAGCATCTAGCTCGTACTTTTCCATGATATGGGACACTGATTTACTGTTGGGCGAGATCCAAGTCTTTGTCCTAACGAAGTGGGAAAGCTTTGTGACTTCTACACAGTGGTCAGAAGCTGGCTATACGACCATCTCTTTCACCATCGGGTGATCTTACCTGGTTGTAGAACTGGAACAATCTGGACACCAGATGCACCATTTCCAATCACGGCTACCCTCTTACCCTTGAGATCTACATCCTTCTGCCACTTTGCAGAATGAACGAGATCTCCTTTGAAAGAGTGTAGACCCTTGATATCTGGCCACTTCCAATTACTATTTCTCCTTAGCCATGTTTGCAATACTCAAAGAATAACCCAGACATACTTGAACATCCCACCCGAATTAAGCAAAAAATGGCATTGATCTTCAAAAACCACACCCGTAACCTGATTCTCAATCCGCAAGACCCATTCCGCCGATCCCTCATCCCACTGCGCATGAATAATCTTATGCGACAATCTGATACGATCTCTCAACTCATACTTGCTACACACATCCTGTAAATAATCTTGTATTTCGCTCGCTGGTGCAAACAGGGAGCTCCAACCAGGATTTGGTGTGTGAGAGAATTGATAATTGTGGGAAGGATCGTCGGATGCACATCCGGGGTAACAGTTTTCAAACCATGTACCACCGACTTCAGGATTTTTGTCATAGACTACATGTTCGATGTTGGTACCGTATCGTTTCAGAGCTCGAGCCATGTTGATACCGCTGACTCCTGCTCCGATGCTGATGACCTTGACCGGCCGCATGGTTCCCAGAGGATATTCTTTTGCGATATCGGAAGATGTTTCATTGTGATGGCTTTTAGGTTGGGTACTTGTTTGAAGAGGCTTGGGTTCAGAATGGGTATGGGTTGATAAACTCCTTCTGGGATTTCCCAGAAACTGTTGCTTATTGTGAAAGCCACGAGTGTAGTTCTGAAGCGAGGCCGTTGCATATCGAACGGGTAAATGAGTGACATGGTATTGTCGAACTGGCGTGATAAGCTTCAACATGTTGATAGTATTAAAAAAGATGGCACAATCTGAAGCTAGATGATGCAAGAAAGCATGACTTGAAGTACTTTTATAAACTATCAAGGGAAACGCCCTACAGCGTTGACGCTAAATCAGGTAATACACAAAAATGGAGAGAACGGGTTTAGGAAAGAAATTAACTTTCCATTCACGGACAAAAGTGAATATAGAGACGGTCTGAATCCAACACCAAGTTGAAATTAAAAGTGTTATCTGGTAAGCGTCTGCCCTGCCCCTTTCCAAAGTCCAAACGAGGTGAATGGAGGATTATTAAGAGCTTTCTGATAACGGACTGTGCATGGAATGGTCAATGCTTCGAGACAGCCCCGAGACCATGGATCCGAAACTTCTGGGGAACATCTATTGTAACCCAAAGGAGACGAGATAAGGCTAAATTTAACCATGATCCATAATAAACTGACATAAAGTGGGCAAAAATGAGGCGGATGGTCAGCTCGTTTTATGATGGGGAGCCGAGGCATTGATCACAGTATGAACAGCTCGTAACTCCACAGACTATTTGATGTGAGGGTATATAAGATGCCCAGGTGATGTTTGTATGATACCAGCGCCTAAAGCATGGGAAAGTGGGATTTTTTCGGATTTGGGGTCCGAAGTGTGACATCGTTTGCTTGCTTCTAATACGCGGTGATAGATTATTGACATCAATGTGTGACCATGTCGACTACTCGATTGTGCAACTCCCATCCTTGGCAAAGATTCCCGCCTCCAGCTTACTTTAATCTTGTACGACCATTCCAATAATGGAATAATGGGGTACGACGTCTATCATCGAGATCTATCTTACAGGCAATGTAAAAGTAGATGACGATGCTTGGCGTTGGATATCAAACATTAAATCATATATATTTGAATATATGCAAGCAGCTTTGTAACACAAGAAAATCTTTCTCTGATTGATTCAACCTCCTCATACTGTTGACCATTCACTACCCCAACATTAATTTGGAGCCGCATAATTTTAAGAACCATGGCTACAAAAGTAAATCCAAGCTTGGATTTCAACCAAGATGCACGCAATGCTGTTTTGCAAAGAACAATGGGTCTCAAACTTTTTGATCTTTTTGCGGGCCTTGTCGTCGCGACAACTAGTCAACAAACTTCAGATACTGCGTATTTGAATTCATACAACTCATGTGGTAATAAACTGCCGCAAAGTTCTGACGTTGTTGTTGTCGGCGGAGGAATCCATGCTTTGATTTATGCAATTCACGCAAGGAGTTTGGAGCTCCAAAATGGAAGTAAGTTTAATCCACTTTTTTATCTCCATGCGCAGTATTACGCCAATATGGCAAAGGGTCCAAAGAACGGGCATCATCTATCGACCAACATTAGTTTTCATACACTTGCTAACTTAAATCACAGAGGGAAACCTCACATCCCTGACCATCCTAGAAAAGTCAGCCAGCCCAACTTACAAGATCGGCGAGTCAACATTAACAGTGTTTGGACTATGGCTCAAAACTGTCGGGATCCAAACTCCGATGCTTTCAAGACTTTTTGGACCAAAAGATGGCTTGGCATTTTTCTACTTTTCCTCCGAAGGTGATCCAGAAGATTACACACAATTTGTGGCAAATGGACCTGCTGCAGATTTTGTACCAACACTCCAAGTCGAGAGAAAAATCAGTGAACTGATGCTCACACTCTATGCGCAACGCCTTGGAATAACAGTTCTTCATGGAAGAGAGGTCGTTATTGATAAGAAGTCCACGGTAACAGACGAAAATGATGGAATGTCTCTTCAAGTACGAGACTCCGAGACAATGGTGGAAGAATCTGTGGACGCGAAGCTGGTAGTTGATGCTACAGGACGATTCCACCGCTTTATCTCGAAAGAGGCACGTATTGAACGTGTAGAAGGGTTTAATACGAATGCGTACTGGGCGTACTTTGAACAACTAGGAGATGAGTCTGATATACCATTGAGACATTACGAAAGTGTCAACACAAATCATATATGTCTGCCTGAAGGGTATGTTCCAGTTTTGGAGATTTGGTTGAACAACAAAAGCTAATACAATCTTTTTAGATGGGCTTGGGTCATTAGACTTCCTTCATGGGAGGGTAGCTCTATCCCTAACCTTACAGCCATGATCAATCATCTGTTGGATCTTAATGCGGCCAAAGCACCAGCAGACTCCTATCCTTCAGTACCTGAATTAGTTGCGAGATTCCAGGTCAAATTTCGGTGGGTTGTTAGCATTGGATTTGCACTTCGTTCCGATGTTGTTTACCCAGAGAATCTTTCCAGCTTTGGAAGCAGCGAAGCGGAACAGAAGTTCAATTGGATTGTTTCTCGATACCAGAAAGTTACCCAACTAATGGAAAAGCACAAACTTATCGAGGATCTCTACGGCCCTGGAACCACCTGGTTCGTGCGCAAGAATTTGGCATTCCGTGCCCCACGAGTTACTGGAAACAATTGGCTGGCTATTGGTGATGCAACTGGTTTTACCAATCCACTATACTCCCCCGGCATCAACGCGAACATGAGCACCAGTATTTATGCCGCTGAAATGACAAAGAACTATCTCTCAGGGAAGGATTCATCCGTCAAGAAGAATCTATTCCAAAAGTACGAAGACTTTTGCAAAGACCGTGTTCCCAACAACCAACGCATGAACGTCTTCAACTACATGTGTATGCGATCCCCACAGATCGGACCAATAGGACCTATCTGGCAATACTTATGCGGAACCGGAAACGAGAAATTTCAAAATGCCAAGAATTTGAATCTGCAAAATGTGCATGACTTTCTCACAACGTGGGATTGGGGTTCCAACCAAGAGGAATATATTACGTTCAGCAAACTGGCCATTGAGATACTGGATGGACCTCCGCATGCCAAGCTTTCCCAGGAAACTATTGATGAGGTCAAGAAACTTTCTTCTGAGCATTTGGAAAGAGCGATGGCCAGTGGCAAATACAAGGGAAGATGGGCGGGATTGTTGCGCTGGTACGATGATGATCTCAACTTTGTAGCGGACAAGATTGACAGAGATGTATTGGCTAGAAGATGTGTCACATGTGGGGAGTGGAAAATGTTGAGACCGGATTGTAGAAAATGTGTATATTGTGGTTGGGAACATACCGTTGAGGAAAGTACGAAGGTTCTGTACTGACGAGGGAAATACCCAAGCTGATTCGATGGGATGAATGTAAATAGAGGCAAATCAGAGGAAGATTTGAGGTTTGGTAGTATTGGGACTCCTAGCGAGCTCAATCTCATGTAACCATCCCATCATTCAAAGCAATAAATTAATGAACAACATGTTTGATTCCAACAATGGCGTTATGATAATGAGACATGCCCTATCATGATATTAGCCTGAACTGTGCGAATGAAATGAAAATGAACGGTCTGAATGATGTTTATATGAACAAGAATTCGTCTAAATTTGTGTTATATGTTTAGATATTTCTGAAGACAATGTAGAGTACAAACGGAGAGTAGTATGTCGGTAGATTGTCGTTGATCGCGCCACATGTTTCTGAAGCCTGAGCATTCCCGAGGCAAATCAGAATGGATCCTGGTTATGTTCTAAATTTAGCTCAGTCACCTATTGACAGCGGGAAACTTTAACTAATCCAGTGGGGTACTACGTATATTGCATAATCCGGAGATGGCAGATAAATTCTATGGGGTTTCGATTGAGACTTCAAATTCAAGGATACATTCATACCGTTTGTCTAAACTATATTTCAGAACTGGTTTCTATCACATTTGGGCCTGTGCTGTGCCGAGAACGGCAGATATTATAACAACTGCCGATTCGACCATCAGCGCCCAAGAAAAAAACGATTTTAATCCATTCTGAACAGGGAGTAGGTAGTACGAGCTCTCATTCCACTCGGATACGAATGAACATACCCTGTTACACGATAGAAACCGGCTCCTGACTCCAACTCAAAAGCACAAGCCTATGGCGGGTAATATGCATCACGTATCCGGACTAGACCTTAGAAGCCACAACGATACCAAGAACAATATGTATCAAAATGTTCCTTTTGAGATCTTAGAACATGCCCTAATCATTTCAACACCACCAAAACTCCCAAGTTATGTTTCTGTTAGTTTCCTCAAAAGGCTAGTCGGGGAAGGCTAACTATGCCACGACAAAGTTCGTCGCTGGCATACCATTCGAACATGCCCGAACGCAGCTCTAGATAAAATCATAGCAGTAAAAAAATCGTTGCATTGGCTTCACAGTTGATAAACCTATCGATCGAGTCGAAATTCGTTTCGCGGGGATGTTCATTCGTTTTCCCCGCTTCGCTCTCCCCGACTGAGCGATATTATCCTGTGAGCATTACTAGCCGGTCCATCCCAACCCATAGAAAAAAATTCCCAAACCATGCATCCAAGAGTGCAGTGTGATAGTCCCACCGTTCTGGAAAAGAATCAGCTTAGTATCCGTCTATGTGTATTTGATAGTCGGACCGGAATTTCCGTCCACACATTTCGTGTTATTGGTATATCGAACAGTGGTAAATATCTAGATGATGCGAGTAGACGATTAAGAAAACCATAGTCAATTTAATATATAAACTGTAGGGATAGATGCTTTTCCAAAACATTCTGGGTTTTCCCAGCCCTGGGCCGATGTATCAAGATGAGATACGATAGTTGATGAGATTGTTAGCTTTGACAACCATATCCTGAATTGATTGTGAAAGCGCGCGTCTATGTCTTGGAATTGGGTAGTGATTTCTGCTCAATGTATCACTGATGGATGTGCATTTATATTGTGAAACCATGCGGGGGATTTGTCTGATTTCTGGGCGTGATTCGAACTCGAGTCATCGGAGACTTTACCATTGATCTAGATCCTAGCGAGAAACTACAGTAGACTGAGCCATGCACTGGACACGATATGTATAAAATTTTACATGGTATTAGGACCCTGCGCATTGAAAACCGTACAAAAATCATGTTTCAAGACTGGAATAAGAGACAGATCTGTAACATACGGTAGGTATTATAACCGAACTAAACCACAGACAGGAAAATGTCATCTATTCAAATTATCTACTCTATTATTCCATGACCGCTCTCATAACTAAGGAGACACATCACAACTCTGACCCGCCCCAACCATCGAAATATTATCCAGCAGAAGATTCACTGCAATAATAACTTGACTGCCACACTGCCAAGTCATTTTCAACTGTGCCGATTGAGTTATCGGAACTACTGCCACCGAGCGTTGTGAATAGCTAGTTCTATAACTCGCTATATTCAAGTACGTAATCGTTGCTGTATCGACAACTACTCCTCCCACGGAAGCAGAAACTACACAAGAAGCTGTTGGCACGACGATGACTCCCATCACTGACATGTAATAACTAAGAGTGTAGGATTGGCCGGGGACGAGGGAATCAATTTGCTGGGATATGGTGGCTGTAGTCGAGCTTTGACCATAAAGGGTGCTATTGGAGATTAGTTTCGCTTTCGATAATTGGATAGAGAGTCAAGAAAGAGGAAGGGAACTTACACAAACTTATCGCCAGAATATGAAGTGAATGCATTATTAACCTTAGATTGTACATAGGCTAAACTACCAAGAACCCATGGCGTCTGATAAGATCCCGATGTTGCGGTTTCAAAATCACCATTGACAACTACTTGGGTAGGTGATGGAGTGCAAGCTGGAATTGTAGTCGAGACAACGACCAATGATGTTGCGGGAACTGTTATTGTTACAGTCTCGGCGATCACGGCTGGTTGGATTGAGAGACAGCTGCAAGCTGATGATTGTTGAGCTAAATCATATGTAGATGTGAATGGATATGGGTCACTCCTTGTCGTTCTCTTGAAAACGGTGATAGTTGCGGGGCTGACGGTGGTGGTAGTTGTGACTAAAGTGGTCTTTGTGACGAAAACGTACTGTTCATCTGCGTAAGTTGGCTGGATGGAGAGTAGACTGCTGCAATAAGAGGTTACTGGTGTACCAGCTGCTGCAAATACCAGGGCAGCCGCGTCTGTGCTACAAAATGCAGTTACAGAAGGAAGTACAAGACTTGATGTTGTAGATGGAGCGCTTGTAATAGGAATCTCAGTAGTTTCTGGTGATTCTGAAGTACTGCTATTGATCTCTAGACTGGAAGCGCTGGTCGGGAGAATTTCCGTGGTTGTGGAATTCGCCGGGGCTGAATATCCGGTTCCCGAAGGAACATTCGAGCTTGTCGAGCTTGTGGAGTTTGCAATTACATAAGCTGTCGAAGATGCTGAGTATCCAGTTCCTGAAGGAACTTGCAATCGAGTAGAGTCTGTCACTTGGTGAGCAGTTGAAGATGCAGTTCCTAGAGGAAGGTCTGATGTTGTGGAGTTACTCATTGGGTACCTAACCGATGATGAGTATGCAGTTCCGGATATGGAAGAAGGGCTCGAGCTTCCAGTTCCAGTAGGTCGATATAAAGATGTGGAATTTCCGAATGGATAGCTTTGTGTAGAGTGGGAAGCCTTTGTACACTTTGTGCGGGAGTGGCGCGATCTTGTTTTTGTTGACTGAACTGCGATTGAGCTGCTGGAAACCGATGCTGAAACAGATACGGATGAGGGAACAATTGAATTGTCGGAGGCTGAAGTCAAAATTACACTCTCAGTGGATGAAGCCGCCGAAGGGAACATGGTGAGCGATGAAGTGCCCTGGGTTGAAGATGCTGACTGGGTGACAGGGCAAACAGTTGTATGATCAACCACGGTATTAGTCACAGTAACGGCCTTCCCGCTAGTAATATACGTGCTGGTTGAGAGAGAATAGACTGTTGAAGTCGTATATTGAACTGTTGGTTCTGGAGTTGGGGAAGACTTTTCTGTGATAGGACAAACAGTCGTATAATCAACGACGGTATCTGTTACTGTGAAAGTCTCTTCGCTGGAAGTGTATGTTCTAGTAGAGAGAGAATATACAGTTGATGTTGTATATTCAACCGTCGATTTGGGAGTTGGACTTGGGGACAATATTTTTGTGATAGAATAGACGGTTGAATAATCTACTAAAGTTTTTGTGATTGTCTGCCCAAGGGTCGTGTATGTCGAAATCTTATAAATTGTTGATGTTTCATATGCAGTTGTGCTTTCACTAGCCAACTCTCCCAGTGCTTGAGAAGTTGAAGTAATTTTGGCGGTGACAGGACAAACTGTTGTGTAGTCTACGATTGTTTTCGTAATAACTTCACCACTTGGGTTTGTGTAACTAGACAAGGTGTACACTATTGATGTGGTGTATCCAACTGGTGCCGTTGATTTGGGACTTGGGCTTTGTGTAATCTCATGGGTGACAGGGTAAGTTGTGGTAGAATCGACCACAGACTGGGTGTTTGTTACCAATAGTCCACTTAACTGAGTAGTATAAGTGGAGAGAGAGTATATGATCGAGGTGGTGAATTGATTTCCCGACCCCGGAATGGCTGGTGGAGATGTAGGGACTACGGACACTATTGCGGAGGGAATAGTTCGAACAGACGTCTCGAGAGAAGGAAATGTTTTGGTAGAGACTGAAAGCTCAATAGAGCCTACAACATTTGACGACTGCGTGGTGGGCTTTGCTGTAGGCTGAGCCTGAATTAAACAAGAACATGCAGATGAGATACGAGATGCTGGAGCTGCAGCTGGGATATAATCGGGAATACTGATGCTGTCATTCTCTAAATATTTGCCACAGAACTGAGGTCCTGAGGTAGTCTGATTGATTAATGGTTGAAGACAATCGTCCTGTTTCACAATCAGCTACATTATATCAATATCAATATCCCCTAACATACCAATACACAATATTTTACTTGAGCTGGAGCACAAAAAGGAATGTTTTCCGATACCACAGAACGTGCCAAAAGAATGACTGAGAAACAAAAAAACGACTTCATTTTAACGATTGTCAAAGAGTGTAGACACAACGCGAGAAACGAGAAGAAAATACTATATGTGCAGCATGCCAACTATATATCACGTCTAATCATACAACCTCACTGTTCAAACTATTGAACGTTTTCTGGCGCCATTATACTAAACGAATCCAGCCGAGCCAAGAAGCATCTTCGTGAAGGCTTTTCTCACGATGTTGTAGGACTGGACCCTTATGGACCCGGGGTACCCGATGGAATGGATAGATCTGATTTCCACCACGTTATTGGAGAATATGGGATGACTCTAATCTGGTACCTGCATTGACACATTAAATCAGCACAAAATCATAAAATCGGCTCGCATCTGATGTGCTTACAAGCATCATTGTCACCAAAGTAGTTAATGAGCTCTAACCTACAACCAATTTGGCTTAAAGTTTTCTTGTCACCCCTGAATATTGGGCCCACCTTTGTATTTGGGCACTCAGCTGGCCCGCAATGTGCCATTCACTAGACAGCATGTAGATATGGCACGCGAAATCTCCATGGACTTTAAGATTTTGGGGTTCTTTCTCCCACTTATAGAAATGGCCCGTCCTGAATCAAATTACAAAAGTTGAAGGGTACCGCTATGTCCTGCCACCATCGCGAAGTTCAATTGCAGACAGTAACGAAAGTGATGGAGTGGTCCGTGCATGCCCACAATGAAGGGGTTCACACCGTACTGACCTTTCTGAAATTGATGTATTCCCAGATTGTCTAGATTGATACCTATCCGTACATCTTTCGATCTAATGCTAGAGAATATTATCAGCTATAAAGTCTGAAAGTTCTTCCCAGAGTCTCCTAGTAAAATTGAAGTAAAATGATCGTATAAGTTGTAAGCAGTAAAGAGCATGACAGTCAAACGAACACCTCAAAGTACTCTTGAAGAACACTTGGGGTACTCATAATCTAGAAGCCAAACATCAACATCAATCAATCCCAAATAGCAAAAGAAAGACAACCTAAATGCCTCAAGCACTGATCAAATACTGGTTTGTTCTCACTTGGAGCAAATAGATCAGCAGGATCGCACCCAGGATCGGAGATATACTCATTTTATGAAGATCATAAATTCCTCTTCATCGGTCGTTGTCTTTCAATTCGATGTCGATATTTCTCGATGAGAAGGGTTTTGATATGTGTGATATTGGCTGGAAAAAGCCAGGCATATCTCTTAAGTCGCCTTGCGGCTTTGAAACCGCGGTCGTTGTAAGCTTCAATAATGTTATAATCAAAAATCGAAGGTTTAAATTTAGAAACTGCGGCAGGATGTGGTTATCATTTCTGTAAACGCCAAGTTGGTTCCCACGCTTGAATGTTCGAGAACGATAAAACCAAATGTTCGAGAAGCAATAAACGAATCTTCTTGCAAACACCTCGTGACCTTCAGTGTTTGATAGATAGTTTTGTTGCACATCTATCGTGTTTGGAATTATCTAGAATAATTTCAAAGAACGGATTAGAATGTTGCAAGTCTTCTTTACCCCACGCGAAAACCTCGTCGTGTATATGAAACACATGTTTTGTATTCAAATCGATATATTATCATGACGACAATTAAATGAACTCTTTAATCTCCAATCTCTGATATTATACATTACTCTTGTTGGAGTCTAAGGTCTATAAATACATTTTCAGATCCTCTTCCGAGTCCGTAACCTAATACTGATCTTTCGGGACCTCTTTCTTATTTTTACAAACGCCATCAAAATCACCATATATACCCATTCCCCTTTCTACAATCTCGACAAATTGATGGAACTCACAAGAAGCGCCAGGCCCGCCTTGGCATTCGGGAATTGGCCTTGGGGCCGTATTGGCAATGATCCTCACAAATTCCTGCACATCGTCTTCGTCATCCGCATCGCCTTTCAATCCTTTACATGTGAGTTTTTCAATTCCAACATGACCTAAGAATGGGATGAGTTCAGACATTTTCCATGATCGAGACCAATTTATACGATCGGTTGGGAATTCTTCGGCGAATGCATTGGAGGAATTGAAGAGGCCAAGGGCGGTGGCTATGAAAGGAGGAACTTCGCGATGGGTAAAAGATAAGAAAAATCGTTGGCCGTCGTCATCGGGGATCCCATCACCGGAAGATTCGGAATGTTGAGGCGCATGAAATTTGGAGAATAGATGCGCCGTGGTATTCAGCCAAGGGAATCCCAAATAAGGTGAAAGAGGATTTCCATGGCCCACCATGCGCGAATATTTCATATCCCACGCATATTCGTAAGCCATCCATTCATCGTCTGTGAATACGTCGCAGATCTTTGAAATTTTGCCCGTGATAGCAGATTCATACCCGCACATCTGTTGCAACCCCATTATATCATAATTCCCAAGTTGGACTGGTGAATACTGCTGAAGTCTTGCGATGATCGACGGTGCATATTTTGCGAGGAAAGTTTGTAATTCTTCGTCTCCAGGTTTTTTGGTAAATGCATCGCATGCTTTATGTGGGACTTGGGAATGAAAAGACGATCGATTTGTTCCAATCTCGACGATTTCGACTTTCTGTGGAAAGACACTACCGAATGCCTTGGCCGTATCTTGTGTTCTTGACTTCTTGTCCGCATAGATTCGTTTCGTTGTGGGTACTAGTTCGGGATATCTGGATAACAAATGTTTGCTAACCTTTTTCGAGTCTTTGATTCCTTGAGGAGTGATTTGTTCCATTTGATTCTTTGGATCATCGATGGGGGTTTGCCATTTCTCAAAGAATGCGAGCGGGCCAGTCCATCCCTTCCGTTTCTTTCCTGATTTGGTGGTATATGTACTATCTAATTTTTTCAAAAATGGTTCGATGTAGGTTTCGTAATCATCATCATTAGCATAAATTGCGGCATGTCTGACAAGATAAGATGCAGCTGTGACTTCGCAGAGACGAGGTGCTTTGTGGTTAAGACCCGGGCCAACTGCATCGAAATATGGACTTATACCGGGAAGATGAAGGAGAGGATCGAACTTGTAATCCTGGGTATGAGAGTTTGCGGAATAATCTTGTGAAATACGAAGTGGGATTTGCGATGAAGAGACTGCCGGAATGGCCATTAAGGCCAAAGCCCATCCGTATTGAAGCATATCAGCGGGCAATTGATTGGAATATGTATCAAAATATTGATAAATTCAATCTATTTTGCTTTCAAAAAATGACAGAAAATCGGCGAACAAACATTTTTATAAATGTTGGGAATTTGTACATGACATCATTGATTGGCTCGGCCCCTTACCGCTTTCCAAGTTCCTGGTGCGGGAGCACTAGCGGCTCGGCATCGGTAGAGCTAATTCGGTTAGCTCGGTTATATACTTTTAGTCCCACCACATTTGTGAAGAAGTTTTGTATCTAACAAAAAGACATTCAAAATGCTTGGTAACAGAATGATACCTCCAAATACTGCATTGATCATGAAATAACCTTTGGCTTATTGTCACCGCCACAAAGGATGATTGGACCACATCCATTGAGGGAATGTTGGAAGTTTTCTTGCTTCACTCCACATAGGCAGAAAAAGGAGACCCCTTTCCCTATCAATATTGTTTATGAGAGTTCATGTTTACTTTGTTTTTGAGTGTATCAATATAATCATCCATCCATAAGAATTTGTATCCAATCTCTACACAATTGTAGACACCAATTGTTGCGCACTCACTCAAGCTCCGGCGATCGACATAATGGTCTCTCCATCACAGATCACAGTGCTTGCAACGACTATCTCGAGTTGCACTGCTATTGTCAATGAATACTTCTTGAAAAACAAGCTTCCGATGCCATCCTTTGATATCTCTGGCCCTTCTCGCATAATCATTCCATCTCATGAAAAAGAGGTTGCTGCGGCATATGCGGAGGTTTTGAAGGCAACCATGGAGCTTCATCATCTCATGTTAGGACCTACAGCAGCTTTGATGGGCACATCGGTTCGTAAGATTGAGAATTCTATGGAAATTGTCAACTAAGCTAAACGTGATTGTTTAGGCAATGGATAGTATGAGCCTGCAATTCATATATGCATATGATATGGTCAATACTTTCCCAATAAACGGCGAAGCGACCTATGAACAGATCTCTGAAAAGTGCGGCTTGAACTTGGTTGATACTCGCAGAATCTTGGGATATGCGATGACGAATCACATCTTCAAAGAGGTTCGGCCGGGAGTAGTAGCCCATACAGCAGCGTCCAAACTTCTAGCATCGGACCCTTTGTTAACGGATTATGTTGGAATTGTCACCGAGGAACGATTCCAGGCTGCTGCACATGTAATTTATTTTCTGGGTGACGCTGCATATCTCCGACACTAATCGAATTATAGACGGTCGAGGCGGTGCAAAAATTTGGGTATGCAAAAGAGCCCAACCAAACTGTGAGGACACCAACTCTTTCATTTTTGATATAGACTATCAGAAATTTGAAGATACTTTCTGTGGTATGCAATATGCTCACATAGTTGGTATTTTAGGGATACAGCATTGGTCATCGAACCGACAAAGGTCTTTACGAAGAATTGAGTGCTCATCCCTCTCGAGGGAAGCGTTTTGCCAACGCGATGTGCGCATTCACTTCCAGGAATGACCTTTCGTTGTTATGTGAATGCTATGACTGGAAGAGTCTTGAGTCCGCAACCATAGTTGATGTTGGCGGAGGGTATGGACCTATCAGCATTAGCCTGGCAAAAAAGTTTCCCGACTTGAATTTCATTGTACAGGACTTCGCAGGGGCAATCGCAGAAGGGCCTACATACGTACCAGCTGAGATCTCAGATCGAATAAACTTCATGACGTATGACATGTTGACTCCACAGACTGTTCGGAATATAGATGTGATATTCTTCCGTGCTATATTCCATAACTGGACGGATCATTATTGTATCAAAATCTTAAGAAATCAAATACCGGCGCTGAAAAAGGGATCGAGGTTACTTATCGTGGAGCCACTGTTGGTGGAGTCGGGAGAGCTTCCATGGCATGAAGAGAGAAGACTTCGGTGAGTTTAGTTCTCCATTCCCCAGATGATGTTACTGATGAAGAGTGATAAAGAACGATGAATTTGAATATGCTTTCATATTTTGGCTCTCGGGAGAAATCTATGGAAGATTGGAGAGAGATTTTTCGGCGGGCAGATGAGCGGTTCGAGATTAAGAATGCTGTGAAGTTAGGAGATTCCCTTACTTCCATCCTGGAAGTCATGTGGACAGGGAAATAACTCTCACTGTGATTAATTTTAGTATTTACAGTTGAAACTTTGATTGATGAGCAATGCTGTGAGATCTTACATCATCTTGAATCGTAAAAAGCCATTTTTGGGTGTGCAGGTGGCTTATGATTTGTGGCTCAAGTCGGAGAATCCATCCTCTGTGAGAAAACCCCTTGTGCAGCCCCCACGGTACCAATGACGGGATACTCAAGCCTGACTACCCACCCCGTCTTTTCCAATCACTTTTCTTGATAACCATGATAATCTATGTGATATAGCTGCGGATTTCACCTCTTTTATCTTGCGATATCAATACAAGGAACATGAAGATAGACCTCTGCATATTCCATCACAGTCCACGAAAGTTTGCCCATGCTGACAGGTCATTGCGAGAGAGGGAGAGAAGGGGATTATAATGAAGGCTCTCTTATTCTCGTGACCTGTTCTACTGGAGAATTTCCGATATCCAGCTCCAACCCCTTCAAAACAAAATTCGAGGGGAGAGCTCAAAACACTGCAATACAACAGCGCTATATGCATTGAACTCTTTCTAGCAACAAATAGACAAGGCTGTTGATCTGACAAGTCTCCGATCAGAAGTAGCATTTGCAACCGCCATGAGTCACAATCTCAGCTCTCTGTCCTACATACTTTTTAGAAGAACCGCGAAGCCCGAGATGGAAGCTTGCAGTATTGCAGCGGGTATCCCTTTCAGTGTGCTGTCATCAGGAGTCCGTGTATTAGATGCCATTGACTCCTCGATGAGATACCACGATTGCGGTGAAGTCCGTTGACAATGAAGTGACGCGTCCTCGGCGTCTAATACAAGGCCCAACACTCGGAATACTGCATCTGAAGCAACTTCTGCAACCCTGCGCTCTTTCCTTTATAGAATCTCAATTGCAACTCACAATGTTCTGTTTCAGGCTTCTGCCATATCTCTAGAATCGAAAAATGATTGGATGCTGGTCGTCGAAGGGATTGATGGTCCTAATTATATGTCAAATGCCTAGTGGTTTGCTGATTATGAACATTCAGCATCTCCTTGATCCATGTTTAACACTTCAGCGCGGGAACTGAACCCAATCTGGCTCTAAATTTCTTCATTTCCGCGCCGTTATGCACATCGGATCACATCCTGAGGTACAGCAATCAGCCTCAAGCATACAACCTCGCCTTAGTTTTCTTTCAGACACTGGTCCAATGAGAAAGATATCTGCAAATATCTAGTTCCAGATGTAACGTTGATGGCAAAAGTCAAGAATTCATTCGAATTTGGACACGAGTTTTGAGTTAAAATGCAGGCAAGCGAAATAATCTCACAATCATTTATGTCAAAATTTCTCAATTGATCTTAGTGAGTCTATCTGATCCATGCCATCAATGGTAGTAGCATACCTCTGAGAAAATTGTTCCTGCCACTTGACAAAAATGGGATGAACCGCCAAGATGGCGAAGTATCGACTCGTCGCTCAAATACTGTTCACATCCTTACTCTTCGTGCCAACTCTTTTATTTCTCGTATCCTCAACCTTTCTCCTCATAATCAGAATCATAGCCTACCAGGAAACGGTCAACTGCGGGTGCATGATGCCTCTAGATTTGTCGGACCACCCCGATGACGAGTATGAATGCCCTCTATCTCGTAAAAAGATCTGTTCCATCGCTGATGAAGCCCATCTTCACCGCATTCAGACCAAAAATGAACTACCAAGCAATTGCTCCAGTTCGTGTATGGATTGTTGTTTTCGAGTTACGAACGAAACGTTCTCAAAGGAGAGTAACACGGCATTGGTGAAGAACGGAGATACATGCGACAAGCCTACACCTTTACTCTCATCAACTTGGAGATTATTAGCTGTGGGTTGGACGTTGTGTACGTGGGTTTTGGCAACCGTGGCTGGCTGTTTGCCGAAGAACAACAATTTTGGCGCCTGCCGTCTGAAAGATGTCAAAGCATCACAGAATTGTGATACCATTGGTTATATCCTAAACTCTTTAATCACAGGCTTGAACATCCTAGCTGCTTTACTCTTGATGGGTTCTGATTATATTCGGCAACGTCTTCTCACCCCCACCAGAATGGACATTGATATAGCACACTCGAAGAATAAGTGGTTCATCATAGGCAACCAAGATTTCAGCAACTTCAGAATTGTACCTATTGTTGCGAGAATACTGTGGCTCTCTTTGCTGTTAACCTCCCTTCCTATTCAACTACTGTAGGTCTTCCAATTTTTTAGGCACTGCGTTGAGACGATCCTAATGCATATTTCTAGTCTCAATGGTTTATTTTTTGTTTCCGATACTTCCTCCGATGCTTTCGAGGTTGTAGTATCCCCAGAGTGGAATACCAAGCCAGCATATTTCGACGTTTCGAGTGTTTCAATCTACCAACAAATCGTAGATAAAAATGCCTCTTCAGTCGCTTGGGCCACTCTTGCACCACTCCAAAAAGCTCTGGAAGATCTCCAAGTACAAAGAGTCAATCGCTCCATGGTTCTGGAGTCATATGCGCTGGCAGGGCATGATACAACGCAAAAGGTGTCGATGTTCCTTTCGCCACCTGTAGGCCCCGGGAATTGGGCTAACTTGTCCATTGCCGACTGCCTCCTTAAAACACCATTCCTCACACCCTGCAAGTCCGTCTTATTGTTCGTCAAAGAGAGTATCATCCTAACCCGCAACTCACCCATTACTCTACTACCTTTCCCTCTCGCTCTCATCCCTCCCCCTCTCCTCCTCCCCCTCACCCCGGAAACGCACTACAATGTATCTTCCATTTCAAGACGGAACCGAGATTCAACGTTGGAGACGCTATGGCTTCTTATCTCGAACATCCCGAAAACTCTATCAACTTCGTACTGTGCAATCAAGCATGGGCAAAATCATGGCCCATTAGAATTTACTTCTTAGGCGATATTCGAAAGCCAACTTTGTCGAAAGAATACTGCAAAAGATCGTTCGAACTCCTGATAGCTATTTTGGATTGGGCGCACATGATGAAAACACGGAAACGAATCAGAAGACTAACGATTCGTTATATACACGCTAACGACGAGAATTAAGTGATATCACAAGCTTGGATACCAAATGGTAAAGGTTCCGGGTGGTCTAGAAGGCTTCACTATTATAGCTGGACACTCGCAATAGTTACTGCTGCAACGACAATGCCACGGTCCCACAATGGCGCGAACACTTTTCAACTCCTAATTCATCGGAGGACACTATTTGGATAGTCGAGGTAGATATCACACATATTTGTGGAGTCTGTCATCACCACTGACACAATCAATAGGTACTACTTTATTCCAATATTCTTCAAGTGGTCTTTTGGCTCCAGGACTCCATTTATCTTCTGTATCGCAACATGTCCGAGTCCCGTGCCTCTCTACTCTCTTACACATCCTCCTCATCAGCACTAAGCATGACCTCTCCCCGGCAAGAGATACCTCTCAATCTTCTACTCCATTCCTCACTTTCACGAAGCGCGAATTTATCCTCATCCAAATCCGTTCCATTATCCTGCATTCTGGGCTTCTCTTATTATATCTATGGGCGCTACAAGCGTCATTCCCTTGAATCGTAACGAGCCTTCAATACCAGCCGTGTACGTCTCTTCCATTGTCAATTCTCCAGGCAATGGGATCGGTTCTTTTACAATCGAAATCGCTATTCCTCTGGTTCTCAATGCAAGCTTGTGGTGTTACGCAGCTTTTTTCAAAAGCTGGTTTGAGTGGAACACGGAGGTTGCATCCTTTCTTGAGGGGGGACACCACGACAATATCTATTAGCGGATCATATCATCCTCCATCTGATGAAGGAGATATTTCGGGAAAGGAGATCACTTGGGGTTGTATTAGAGATCAAGATGGTAATCTCCAATATCCTACAATGACAAGCAAACCAGTAGATGGAGTAGAATGGACGCGAGGGATTCTGAACGATCTTACGTTCCCCCAACCTACCGATCACAACGGATTTGATGTTGGAGAAATGGCAGTCTTATTTTTGGACGCCGATTGCCATATTCCGATGGAGCGAATCATTCAAAAGGCTATCAATCATGTGCTAAGTGTCAGATTACCTTGTAGAGTCTTATCTCGAGAGTCGGGTTCAGATGATGACTTGGAGCGGTATAGACTCGTGACTTTGACGGGGACTTTGAAACATAAGTACAGCAATGAAAACTTAAGAACGTGGGACGAATATATGGATGGAGAGAAGTGCGGGATGAAGTTTGGTAATGAGGAAAGCTGGGAAACTTGAAGGATGAGGCGGTCAAAGAGTATTTTGCGAGAGAAAGCTTGTTGTATTGATATTTGATGGGCTTCTCAAGAGATTTTGGGATCCGATGGTGTTTTATTTATTATACATTAGATAGAGATGTGATAATAGGTAGATACCCAGTCAGTGTTGTCGAAAAATAGTCAGATAGATGATCTATTTGTTCACGTGGAAAATACGGTGGCCGATTCTGTAATTCTCAGCCTCAGCGCGTGTTTGTTTCGGCCACCGTAATATGCGTACCTGGATCTCCAAAGTCCCTACCACACCTTACCTCGGAACATGTATGGATCAAGGGATACTCACTTCGGGTCGTTTCTATCCTCTCAGACATAATAAACTTTAGAATTCACTCGTTTGAAATTGCTGTTCTATATATCAATAAAAGTTCGAACAAGATGCCTCAACAAATTTCATACCGTCCCGTTTCAGACTCTCCCGACGCTACCTATCATCTGATATTCTTCATCACAGGCAACCCAGGATTGATAGGTTACTAGTATTATTAGTGTTTCTCGATATGTATATATACCTTCATTGACACTTCCGTAGCTCGACCTTTCTTTCGCTCCTCAACGATCTCCTGTCTTCCTCGCCCACCAAGAATTCGGATACCTACCATATATTTGGCCAATCGTTGGCTGGTTTCGAGACGGACGATGTCCCCTCTTATTCTCCCAATCAAAATCCATACTCATTGGAACAACAAATAGATCTTGTTCATGATTGCCTAGTAGAGCAGATAAATGGTTCACCCACACAATACAAAAACGTGATCTTGATAGGGCATTCAGTGAGTTTCCCAGACTTCCATGAAAAGTTTGTTCTAAATTTCTAGGTTGGATCCTATATCCTTCTAGAAACTCTTTCCAAGCTTATTGCACCGGCTGCAGTTTCTTCAATATCTGCAGTTTTGTCAGGCATTCTTCTGTTCCCAACAGTTACTCACATTTCTCACTCCCCTTCCGGTGCAAAGCTTACGCCTCTGATGTCAATTCCGAACTTTCCTGTCTTGGCGTCTTCTACGGCTAAAATGCTTCTTTATTGTGCTCCGAATGTTGTTTTGGATTTTCTCGTGAAGAAGGTCACGGGAATGCCAGAGGAGGCAGCGAAAGTCACCACGAGCTTTTTGAGAAGTAAAAATGGTATTTGGCAAGCACTGTATGTTCATTCGCCTCTGGGTCATGACAACACTGATGAAGTCTTCAGACATCTTGCACGTGACGAAATGAACACCATCACGGATGACAAATGGGATTCGGAGATCTGGGGTGTTGAGCATTCCGAGTCGTCTCAATCTTCTCCACCTAAGCTCATTTTTTATTTTGGGGAAAATGTATGCTTTAGTCTGATACTCGTGAATCTATGCTGAGAGAAAACAGGATCACTGGGTAGCATCTCATACTCGCGATGCACTCATTGCTGCACGAGGTTCTCCTGTGCCATCAGCCTCTTCCACCTCCTCATTTTCAATCAAGGAAACTAACAAGCCTATCATGATTATTGACAAAGAGGGGATCGATCATGGATTCTGCATCAGTGAGTACTTGGTCTCGGTCTAGAACTAATTTATGAGGGGGTGAACGGCTGGGGAACATTCGCTAATTGGATATAAACGTAGATCACAGCGAAACAATGGCAGCCAAAGTGAAAGACTGGATAGATAAGATAATTCAAGATGCATGATGAAACAGATTGTAGCCTAAATACCTAAATACGAACAACTGTTCAAGATCGACAATGGTTGCAATCCTGCAGATTGCCCATGATACAAAATCGTTGGGCCAGTGTAATTGCTCATATCGGGGTATACTTTCAGCCTTTCCTTCTTGGCGCATGTTGTACATATTAATGGTAGTTGAATTCGTGGGGGATTAATTCGCTTCACTATTTTATTTCCGGTTCTTCAACTTCGGAGACTAGTGTCAAATGACTTTGGAGGACAAGTTGTCCAGGTCAAGTTTCAGCTTCATCGCAAACTCTACCGCTTTGGATTCAATTTTTTTTATCTACATGCACAATGCACAAATGAGGTCAGTCATCACAAGGATGATGCGGAAAGGCCAACTCGTTCAGTGGTAAGAAAAAGCAGGGATTATTATACAATGTAACCTTGCTACCTCAAGCTGTATATCCTTTTTGGCTCGCATGCATGTAGTTGCCACAAATCCTTAGAGCTCTCGCCTCATTTGTTAATCGAGGAATTTTCTACTCCCCAGTGCTTTATGATTTGATCGATTGAAAATCCAACATGTTGCTGGGATTCTCTTTTGGCGCTGATCGCGCAAATACTTCACAAATTGGGGGATTTTCGGGGGTGGGGCTGAGGAGCAAGTACACTCTTGATGCGGCTCAATGAGCTACAGGCTTTAAACTTGCCGACCTCTCCCATAACTTGTCGAATACTTCTGAAATCCTCCACAGAAGAAATACCGCATCGTTCCCATGGCTCACACAATCTCAGCAAATCAAGACGGCGCTGATGGCACTTCTGCTATTAAAAAAGACTTTTATGATGATTCAACTCCGCAGGATCTCCTTGATAAAGGCGATTACGTTTCTTTATACCTGCGTTGCCGATATGACAGACGTGGTGATATCGAAACCGGACAACTAGGCGATTTTGAAGCGGGTCTTCCTGATGATTTCAGGAAGGGACTACCAAAAAAATATGAGCTTAAGATCAAGCAAGAACTAGATCGAATTGCGGAATTACGAGCAGTATTTGTCGGGAAACAGAGAAATGTTACTGACATTGAAAAGTTGAAAGAGCTCAAGGTAGCCTGGAAGATAAATGCTATCACCTCTTATGAGGCGAACTCGAAGGATAATGCACTTTGGATAACGAAACTGAAGAATGATCAAGCAAAATTGAAGCGGGAATTCGGAGCTTTCAGAAACGCACCAACGAAGGCTGCACAGGTCAGAAAAGACCTTTTGGAAAAGGGCCAAGAGATACTTGGAGCGCAAAACAAAGATAGGATCTTGAAAGAGGTAGAAAAGTGGAGTCCTCCTGGTGATTCGATTCCCGAAGTAAAAAAAGATGTTCTGGATAACTCTGGTTATGGGTTCAGCGTCTCGAAAATTACCTTAAAGAAGGGGCAATCAGAAAACTCGGCCAAGATCACATCTTTTGACCAGTATCAGATGGAAAGGTATTCCGTTTCGGATGTACTCGAGCCTAACGGCGACGAAGATCCATGGGCAAAGGAAAATACTGAAAGCATTCGTTACTTTCATTTCCCTGCTAATAATATGAAATGGATCGAAGTAAGTTTTCAGATCTCGGATGCCTTGACATCAAGCTAATGTGAAGCTGAAGAAAGCAATACAAAGACATTACAAAGAAAGCAAAGACCATCGACCACAGACATCAAAAGTTCTTTCTAGGGAACTGTGGGTAGGGCAGCAGCATGGCGCTTTAAATGATCCCCTTCATTCTCGGCACATGCGCTCGCATTGCAAATTTATTCCTCAAGGCAAGTCACCTCTTCATGATAAATGTTATTTTTGTTGACAGAAATAGATACAGAGATGGATGCCATTCTTGCCGAATATCACTATGCTCCTCGGAAGAGCAGCAATAATAATATGGTCCTTTTTGTAAGATCAACTTCAAATGTATTCGGTTTGGCAGCTGACAAACTTTCTAGATGCCTTACCTTCACTGGGAGATGGATCGAAAAAGAGCTCACATGACCAAAATTGCGAAAGAACTCACATCTGAGTATCAAGCAAAACAGCCTCGTCACCACATACTTAACAAAAACAAACTTGCAGGGATTGTCGAAAGTACTAGGAAGAAATATGCCTTCTTAGAACAGCCCGAGGTCAAGGAGCATACGAGTTTAGATGGCCCTGCCCCTTCTAGTGAATCGAAGCGGATAACTGGGTTCAGCCGTTTCTTTCGAACCAGTTCTAAGAGTGGTTCAAATCAAAACGTTCCGGGAAAGGTCACAAATCCCTGTGGTTGTTACTTGATGCAAGCTGCGAAAGTCTACGAGGCAATGGATCTTGAACCGGATATCAAATTATTACGCAGCCATTTGCATGAAACACCGCCTTTGCATCCACGCCGTACGCTTGATCAGTCCTACTACTTCAAGCTTGAAAATACAGATTCTCGGGACAAGGATCAGGTTGTTTCTCGTGGTACAAATGAGCGGAGGAAAATTAATGGGAGTACCCGCGTAGTGATGGTCGATCAGCTATGGATGTATATTCTTGACGAATGTGGGTTGCCTTTTGGAGACAGCACTTTTTTTTTACAGGATCACATTACTGACACGTACATAGATACCATCATTACTAGTTTTCCAAGAAGGCTGGGTCGTAATAAGCCTGACTCCTCTGGTGTGCATAAATGTATCAGAGACCGACTGGAAAAGATCCGTCCAGGCCAGATCAATTCAGTCTATGATCTAGCTCTTTTGATCCTAAATGAGTGTTCGACAGTATTTTTCGATCGCACAAAGCCTACTGATAAACGCCCCGAGGTTTTGGATATATTTTCCAATGCTATTGGTTATGTTGTTAGTGTAGACGCATTGACATATCATATGCAATATCAGCTGATAAATAATAGTCCGAAATGAAAACGAACGCATTCGAGTTATTCTGGGGTCATGTTGAGCAACTGAGTGGCCACAAACTAAAAATCAGCCCAGAAAAGGCACGACTCTATCACAATATTAATCCAGAAGGGGTTTTGCTACGAGAAGCCCATGATATCATCGAAGAATTGAAAATGATTTCGCGTATCAATTTGCAACAGTGAGTGGTCCCCCCACTGGTACTCTTCATTTTGATGAAACATTTTTCTTCTCCTTCCATTATTTTCCCTTTGTTTCACCTGCTGGGCTTACCATTATTTAGATTACAAGTTACGCAAGTCTTCTCAAAAGCCCTACAGACAATGAATGGACAGGTGGAGCCAATGCAAGAAATAGCTGGCCTCTTGAGTCTTATGTTAAAAGAACTGCAAAAGAAGAATCCCACGGATTCAAATGGCATAACCAGCGACTCGCCGGCTAAGGATACTCCCAAAAATTTCAACAAAGTCATTCTAAAACATACCATTAATCGATCCTTGGATCTGGTTGAAACTATATCTAATCATCAGAGCGAATTGCAACAGCTCGAGGATAGTGCCCGTGAAATTTCCGAACAATTAAGAGACCTACTCACACTAAAACAACAACAAGCTAGTATCATAGAAGCCACCGCTTCACTAGACCTCGCGGATGAAAGTGTGCATCAAGGTCGATCTATCATGATATTCACCATTATCACCATTATTTTCCTTCCGTTATCTTTCATGAGCAGTATATTCGGTATGAATGCGGTGGAGTTTACTGGATCGTCAAACTCCGTCATGGGCATTGGAGAGCAGTTCGAGTTCATGTGTTCGTTGGCCCATTCTTACCCCCAATCTTATCTTATACCAATGCTGATAGTTATGTTATAGTTCCGATATCAATTGCGCTGACTTTGTTCTTCCTTTGCTTGGCACTCAAAGCACCGAGGCCAATACTTACGATATTTCCCTTCTTCTTATTCTTTCCTATTGTTTTCTTTAAGGCGGCATGGTATGGATATAGAAAAAAGCCGGAAAAATGGCAGCAACTCTCCCGTTACTTGCTTGTCGGCTCAGCCAAGGAAAAGCTGGGAGAGAGGTACAGGGAGATGGTGACAAATGTGTATCGGCGGTGTTCTGCGTCAAACGCCAAAGACACGATTGAATCACAACCCAAAAATTCAGATAACAAGGAGCAAGTAACCCCAAATGATGAATCGCGGGTGTTCTACCTTTGCGGAGACAGGTTCAAGAATTCCGCTCCGGCAATTGGAGAAAATAATGTCTGATATCTGGGTTATGTATATGTACTACTGTAAGGCACTTTGAGAGTGTAATGATCAAGATGTGGCTCGTCTTATCATGTATGCTATTTTGCTGGAATCTGATTAAAGCGGAGATGATTTTGTCGGATGAATGATTGAGTTATTGAATTTGATTTTCGGAAGTTGAGCTTGAGTGATTAGGAACTCGGAGCCTGGCTGTTGACCTTGGGTGCTTATCCACAATTTTCAACTTCTCTGTCAAACCTCATCAACAATTAAAGTGGATTTATAGTATAAACATTTAACTTCAAAGCATGTTTCTGGCAATTACGTACCACCCTGAAAAATACTTGAACAGTACAGAATCGCTAGGATTGCCGCCAGAAGTTATTTGTTGGACTATCACCTTCCAATTTGGCTCTTTGAAGATACATGATTATCCAGGCATTGAGCAGTCCTGTCATTGCGATTGTGCTTCCAGTCCTCATATTTTTTTAGTCTAATCAATTTTCATCCAATCCCTCCAGACAAGCCTCCTGATCGACAACAAGTTTTCTTCGAATCACCAACGTCTTCAAAATTGGCTCATCCTCGTATTTGTACCCCGAATCACCACGTACATTCTCACACTGCCTTCCACACGCACTTTCGTTACCCTTGTGGACATCAATTTCCCGTGGACATATATAAACTTCTTCTGTATCCCAACGCGGATGATACGCCACATTTTCATCTGTCCATTGAGTTTCGGACCAGAAATCGTCCAACTCCTCTATAGAAGAGTGAACACGTACTGCATGAAGATATCTCTTGTTCTTTAACCAATTCTCTAATCGTGTAATCTGGAAATATCTCGCTTCTCCCAGAAGTGCGAGATATAGAACGTGGTCGTGGCCTTTTTCTGTATCGTAGAAAATAGGAATGACGCTTCGTCGAAGGTACCGCAGGATATGTTCGAAGAGGTCGGGATCTGCATCGATGAAATAAGAGCCATCTGCTTGCTTGTTACTATCCCAGCGCCCTGACATTAGTGCCGCGAAGAAAGGGCTTTCCCCTGTCATTGTATTCTTTGTGGTGATGAATCGCCGTTCTCCCACTTGAAGGGTGATAGGGCCGCCCGCTGATGGAGTTATACGGTGCTTCGTGCGTGAATTGGAATTTATAGTAGCTGACATTTTGGCTGAATCTGACTTTTGCCTTTCGAATCAATTTTCTGAGATGTGATCTTCTAACATTAGTGTAAGTTTTCGAAAAGGAAAATGTTACTACTTGCTTATTAATTCCAGATACCATAGTCCTCAAAAGACGTGAATCGCTATGTATTTAAGGTCTTCGGAATCTAGCTACTAGGATGGGTACTAATAATCAATCATAACCTGACTGAGATGAATTCTTTATGGTTAAGGGTTTCGGAGTTGATGTATCACTCTCTACCAAAGAACGAAAGGTTTCCATGGGGTCGGGTATCATGCAAGTAACCGTTATTTGACAAGGGAACCAACTGACTGCATAACCAAGGAGCTGATACATTTTCATCGAGTTCCATCACTAATAACAAGAGTTTGAGGCTTGGACAACAAATCAATGTCCTGGCTGCTTCTTGCTTTGTATGGATGATTTCATTATCCTTTATAAGAGCTAGATAGATCTCTAAGGAGATAGAAACCATCAATTCTTCCTTCCCAACCCAACAGAATTCGTTGGAAAAGCCTGTGTCGCTCATTGCAAAATCGAATGTGATCGAATAGAACTGTTTGTATGACTAGTGCTAGAAGCCACTCTGTTTGCTGTGCGTTTGCTCCGAGATAGTAGGCACCGGCCCTTGTAATCCCGCTTGGTCAAAATGCCGTCACCATAGCATTTATAGATGTACAACAGCGCGGCTTTGCACTGTAACTTCTCTAGGTACTACCACGATAATATGTATCAACTTGATAATATCATGAGAAATTATGAGTTTGATACCGACTCAGGGATCACTGGTGGATGTCTTGAAGCTTTGACAATTCCATCCATTAGGAGGCCGTCATGATTACGTCATCATCCATTCCAATGTTCAGCTTGTACAGCACTCCAGCTACACGCTGAGCTTCCAACGACACTCAACATTTGATTCCTTTGGTTCTATCAAAATTAAACTCAAACTCTACAATCAACGATCAATTTTACACGTTAAACTACGAAAATGGTTGTCGCCGGTACAATTTCACGCGTTCAAAGGATGGTTGATCGCGTTGTAACCCCTGAACAGAGATCCCAGTTCTATGGGAATGTCTCCGAGTTCTTTCAGGAACAACCTCTTATTGCTGTATGTATATTTCTGTTTCTGTTACATCTGAGGGATTTGAACAATCGGCTGGTTCAATCTATGGCGAATTCTCCATGGATTCTGCAGCTGAATCCACTCTTTTCCCACTCTTCATTTGCCAATATACATACAATTAACTCTTATCTCAACCTCCATCGATACCCATGCCAATCAAATCCCACTTTCATATCATATCTCCCATCTCCCCACAACCTCACTAACCGCACTCGATAGACATTCCTCCTCGCAACCCTGAGCATCTCTCTCGTGCCTCTCTTCCTCTTTACAACATTCACCATCTCGGTCCTCGCGTTTTCCTTCATATCTGCTATCCTCTTCTCTTTCATCTGGATCGGAATTGCTTTGCTCTTACTTGTGCCAACTCTCTTCGTTACTTGCGGATTGGGGATTCTGGTGTGGGTATGGGCTGTTAGTTCATGGGTTGTGGCAAGATGGCTTTATGGATTTGTGTCTGCGAGCAATGGGGCGGGAGAATTGAGATTCCCGAACGGGAAGAGAATGGTGGTTAAGAAGGAGGAGGGAGAGGTGCCAAGAGCGGAAATTAGAAATGGAATCTGACTACGCGATGCTATGAAAGTAGAGCATGAAGATGGAGCGCGGGGTGAGGAGCAAGGATGGTAAATAGGTAATCAGGCGGGCTCGGAGTGGTGGAGTACATTGGCTGTAAGACTAGGAATTCGGGATCATGGTAATGGATAGATGGATGGGGCGAACGGGTACATAGAAATGGAATATTTGGGGACTTTTCAAAAAGAGAACGGAACACGGATAAGTTCCTTTTAGCCAATTCTCCTGGCATTATTTCATTTGCACTGTCATGAGTTATTGATTGGAGTTCTCCTTTATCATCTTCTTTATCCTGCAACAGCTGCTTACTTCTACCCTGAGGATCGAAAGCAAGATCTACATGTCGGTGCAACGAACGATGTGTTTATGACTTCGCCGAGAAAGGATATTCGCTGCTCCCTCGCATCAGTCTCCCCAGCGTCATCAACTGGATCTATTCTACCTCGTGTTGCTTTCTCACAAGGAAAGTAGGAGCGCAAGTCAGTCCACATTTGTGTAAAAAGAAAATGTTCATGGAATAGATTGTGTAAATGGAAAAAGATATGGGTTGAAGCTCGAAATGAAGTTTCGTCTTTAGCTAGATCCCATTTCAATCGGATGATATACCAAAATAGCACACTCCAATTCACTAGATAATGGCCGTCGCGTTATTGCTCATTTTAAATATCTAAGTGACCAAACAAACGCGTAAATAGTTTCGAGCTTGTTTACCTACCCCGCCATAATATGATTTTAAACTTCACACTCCTTTGAAGTTTAAAAAATTGGCGCGCACATCACTTGGAATTGATATAAGTCGATAAATTCACAATACGAAGGGTACCAGATCTTCAGTCAACCACATTCGACCGACGACATGATGGTCGATTACGCAAAATATCGAGTGGTAGAATTGAAGGAGGTTCTCAAAGCTCGTCAACTTCGAACTGATGGCTTGAAAGCTGCTTTAGTGCAACGTTTGACACAATCAGATGCCCGTCATGTTTCCATTGAGGAGGTGGTCAATCAAAAAGTCAAATCGAATGTAGCCTCTACTGCGTGAGTACTATCAATAACTTTGGATCTTTTCAATTTTCATGTTGCCGTCACCTCTTTGGTGGATGACTGCCGTTGGGAGCGTTCATGCGACGGAAGAAGGCGTGTGGACAAATCCAAATTTCGCTGGTTGTCCTCGATTATGATTATTAAACTAATGTAATTTTAGGCATCCACCTCAATCGCAAATTGGAGCTGTCAACCTGAAGCTTGACAATCTGATTCAAACTATGGATAGTCTTAAAAACATACCAGACTTCACTCTCACAGCCGCAGGTCATACAATGCTCAACCAAGAGAACAGCCATGCCTCTGCACAGAGCCAAAGTTCGCAATCCGCTTTCCCAAAGAATAATTATGCACAGTCCCTTCGAGACAGTAGCCATAATGCTGTTACGTTCAGCGAGAATGATTTCAGTGATGATGATGATATAGACTTGGACACAAACTATGACTTGCCAATGTCTCAAACGTCCTTCACTAATTCTCAGCCGCAATCTCAGCCTGGTGCGTACAGACAAAATCACATGTCTTCTTGCACTTCCACTCAAGCCTATGGCATGACTTCACCGGCTTCAAGCTTCCAACAAGGCTATCGTCCAATGTCGCAGTCGCAAAAGTCTTATCTACCTGCAACTCCTACTCCACGTCAGCCATTGGCAAACATTTCAAGCAACCAAATGTCACCACCATCTTCCGTTAAGGTTGCCCAAAAGCCCATGGTCTACGCTCCCTACTTGACGTTCTACCAGCTGGAGCAAATGTATCCAAATGGCCAAAACTTTCAGGATGAAAATGCAAAACTTGCACGCAGAAGATGGTTGGCAAAGTTGGGTATTGATGTTTCGCCATACAACTTTGTGTTCATTAATGAGTCACAAAGAGACAAAGTCGAGATTCATTGGGCTTTGAAGTCTCCAGAAGAGCGCCGAGACATTGAACAGAAAGCTGTTCAATTGAAGCCACCCTATCAGCTCACGCACGCGGTGCCACTTCGATTAGCACCTTTCGCTCTGAGAACACCCGTTCCAATCAACCTGATTGGCCCAATCCCTCTATCTTTCTACGAGTTGGAACAAACATATTTTGATGTTCCCCAGGGAAAGAATTTGGCTTATTATGACCTTGTTCCAAAACGCTTGGCTTGGCTTGGGGAACTTGGCTTCGACGATCCCAGATATCTACCTCTAGCGCAGAGTACACGAGAACTACAAGCATTGAACGATCTCTATGATCAGAAGCCAAGCGTTGAGCGAAGAGCTATCGAAGCTAAAGCAAAGTATGTCAATGCTAAGCCCAATCTGCCAGCTCTTTCGTGGGAGACTCTGGAGAAAGATTATGAGATCTACCCAGTAAGTGCTTTCACGACACACACAGCATATTGTGAAAAACGTCGCGAATGGCTTCAAAAGCTTGGCCTTGATGTTATACCATTCTCCTACAAAACTGCACAGCTCCATGAGGGCAATATGCAAGGCATGGAAATTGCCTGGAGTGAAATGACTGAGGTTGACCGCAATAGAGTTCTTGAGATGGCGAAATCTATCAAAGAAGATAGCAATCCGGTTGTTGAGTTATGGGCAGAGTTTGAGCATACATATGGTTTTACTAAAGAAAAGGACAAGGAGTTTAAGAATGACCCTGTTGGCTACTCCAAGAAACGTGGATTATGGATCATCGATATCGGATTGGATGTTGAACCTTTCAAGAGCGTTATCTCAAGCCCTACCGCTCTCCAAGCAGCATGGTCTACAAAGCCCATTGAAGAGAGAAAGACCATTGTCAACAAAGCTAAGTGGGAGAAAGAGCGCTTTGTTAGGGATTTGGCGAGAAAAAAGGCCGAAAAGGCAGGTGACAATTACAAAGCTCCTCCCACTGAAGTCAAGAAAACAAGCAAGCGCTCATCTACGACCAAATCGTCTAACTACAAAGTTTCTAAGTCCTCCAGTTATAGAAAGAACGGATATGGTTATGGTGGCTATGGCGGCTATGGCGGATCATATTCTTCGGGTTATGGATTTGGAAGAAACAGATACTCAAGGTACTAGTTTGTGCTAATGTGCTTGCTTGGCCTTTGCCAGCCATATTTTACGACGTAAAGATGCTCTAATAGTTGCTTATTTCTGAATCAGCATTTAAGATCTTGTACTAAATCTTTCCTTTAGGCTATGTTTTTCATAGGATACTTTTTGGGGGGAATGTTGTCGGGGTCTTCCTGGGACTGCTGAATCCTTCTTCATCTCAATCTGTACTTTCATTTGACCCTGGGCGTATGGCGTATGGCATCTAAGACTCTGCTAATCAGTCATTGTACATATTTGGACACATGGTACGGGAGTATCAAGAAGTACGTATGGCTCGCGCCAGTTGGTCACATATGAATGGGTGTTTTCTCAAACGAAGATGATAGATAATGTACGATACATAATCAGAATAGTAATAACATGTAAACTATTTTCTTGTCGAGAGCTTGTTTGCTCTCGTGAACTCCCATAAGACATGAACTCTGTAGAAATCTACTCTGTCGGTGAAAAATTCATTTCACCACTAACCTGCTGATTTGTTCTTGCTCACCAGCTCCACAATATGGACAAACACAAATCGCCCTTATAAATATCAGGTACAATTATACATGGAATAGAACCAGAATATCAACTTGATACTTCAAATTCGTAGATTAATTGTTGAATGTCGTCCACAAGGTCATTGATGTAGCTGACTAAGCACAATTGCATATGAAGAGCTTTCCTCTTTCATATAACCTACATCAATACAATTGATTCTACGAACCTTTCTTCAGGTGGTTCCATATTTCAACATTGATTTCTCTTCATAAATTATTTCACAATTCGAGATAAGTTCAAGTTAGAAGTATCTGCGAATGGTAGATCCAATCGTTGGTCCAATGGCCATGTAAAGATGCGCACTCGATTTCATTGGCTGCCACAGATGGCTGACCTGAAGCTTCTTCAAGAACCTCGGTGCGTCCAACCCAGAAAGTTGTTAAGCACCTGGGCAGCTTGAGTACTACGAAAGCTGGCTTGATTCGCATGTATCACTCTGTGGTGTGGCTTAAGCGAGCACTATCGGGATATAGACCTTCCTCTCCGATCCAAATCCTACACAATCAGAATACAAGGTAGGGATCTTGGGATATCCAATCAAACATTTTCGAAGCGCAGGTGGCGGCTGGATGCATGATGCGTTGGTTACGCATAATGGTGATTGAACTTCAGTTCATTTTATTCTCCTGATGCTTTCCAACGCACGACATTTTAAAGAATGGGTACTTTCGAAAGCAGTAAGCTCACCGCTCTCAGATCAGAAGAGCAACTGAGTCTACTCAATGAAATCGACACGCTTCGCCGTTCTGGCATTAGTGATCATGTCTCCTTGCCACAGATTGCCGTTTGTGGAGATCAATCTAGTGGGAAAAGCTCCTGCCTAGAGGCCATTTCGGGAATACCATTTCCCCGCAAAGACACCTTGTGTACTCGCTTTGCTACTGAGCTTGTTCTTCGCAAGAGTTCCGTGGAGTCAGTCGTGGTGAATATTGTTCCTAGCCAAAAGAGGTCCCAGAAAGAGAGTCAAGAACTCGCCGGCTTTCAGTACACACTTCATTCTTTTGATAAGTTGCCGGAATTGATAGAATCTGCCAAGATTGCTCTAGGTCTTGACAAGCCTGGAAGCGGATTTTCTTCAGACATACTTCGCATCGAAATATCTGGCCCGACAAGGCCTCATCTAACAGTTGTTGATTTACCTGGCTTGATTCACGCCAAGAATGATGACGAGGATGACGAAAATGTGGAGGAAGTGGTATCTGAACTCGTTTACTCATATATGCGCCGTCCGAGGACAATTATATTGGCAGTTGTCTCTGCGCTGAACGATCGAGCTCTCCAAGCAGTGCTAAAGCAAGTCAAAGCAGTGGATCCACACGGCAGGCGCACTATGGGCTTAATCACGAAGCCTGATACTCTATTTGAGGACTCCGAGAGCGAAAAAGACTTCGTCAAGCTAGCTTCAAATGAAGTAACGCAACTCAGACTCGGTTGGCACGTACTGAGGAACCGCGATTTTAACACGAAACATGTCACCTCTGTGGAGAGAGACAGGATAGAGGAAGAGTTTTTCTCACAAGGAATTTGGAAAACATTGCCTCGAGGAATTTTAGGGGTTGCAAAATTACGAGAGCGTCTAAGCAGGGTTCTCTTAGACCACATCAAGTCGGAGCTGCCAGCTCTCATTCATGAAATTCAAGACATCCTGCACGAGTCACAGCAAGCATTTACAAAACTCGGGGATCGCCGCGGAAATGCTGAACAACAACGGTTGTATCTTTTTAAACATAGCCAGCATTTCACGAACATCTGCAGAGCCTCATGTGATGGTATATACGAGGACAAGTTTTTCGGGGATATTGCTAGTGAAGAGTTCAAGAACCGCAGATTCCGAGCTGTTGTTCAAAATTTGAACCTCGCATTTGCCGAAATGGTGCGGATAGACGGCCAAAATATCAATCTTAGGGGCATTGGACTCGAAGGGAAAAGTAATAAAGCTATCTCATGGGTTCGGGATATGCTAATCTCTTCGAGAGGGAGAGAGTTGCCAGGAACTTTCAGTCCGATGCTGATTGGAGATTTGTTCAGAGTGCAATCGAAACCATGGGAAAACATCTCCAAAACCCACCTTCAAGATATCTGGGCAAAAGCTCGTGATCATTTAGAAGATATACTTTCTTCTCTCATGGATTCAGAGGCATACATGGCGTTGCTCATGCTTTACGTCGATCCATTAATGGAAAAGCTACTCAAGAAAGCCACTGATGAATTGGACAGATTGTTCCGTGATCGGCATAGACATGCCATAACCTATAATCATTACTTCACTGAAAACGCCCAAAAAATTTCTGATGCTCGTAATCAAAAGAGGCTTTTAGAAGTCCTAGAGAAGATGTTCCCTTTAGACAACTACAGTCAAGGTCGCACTGGACCGAAGGATCTCTCGATCATATGCTCTATGGTGTCAGGATCTATACCAGACATGGATACGCGGGCTAGCATTGAGCTTCTTGATCATTTAGAAGCGTTTTACAAGGTGAGATATCAAAACACAAAAACAACGTGATATTTGGCTAAATAATTCTTCAGGTGGCAATGAAGACTTTTGTGGACAATGTATCTGTCCAGGTCATAGAGGCATCAATCGTGGACAAGCTAGCTGATGTCTTCAATCCACTTGCAGTAGCACAGATGACCAACGAACTTGTTTCACAAATTGCTGCTGAGTCACAGGAAAACCAGACGCAAAGAGAGCAGCTGGAAAAGAAGATACATGTTCTAGAGGAAGGCCTGAAGACCTGCAAATGGCATGCGGGTCGCTATGCTTCAGGTACGCAATATTCGATATGAGCCAGAATTTTTCTGATCCGAAACTACCTTAGAAGTTACTCTCGAAGACCCTCCGACCCCCGTAATACAGACACCAAAGTCTCATGAGCCCTCTGTAGCTGACTTACACGTCTCGAATGTTTCAAGTCTGAATGATGACGTCGAAGTCCACGCAGCTGATCAAGGAGAAACGAACAATTTAGTGAGTTGATTTAGTATAGATCTCTCAACTTTCAGCTGTAATTACTAAATGTTCTGATAGGTGGACGAGGCTCCGGTTCATACATACGTGGCAAGAAAAGATGAAGCAATAAATAACATCTCCACGTGGGGAAGCTTGGGAGGGAAGAAATCCAAGAAGAAGAAATTTAGGAACGTCGTACCTTTTGCGCCTGAAGAAGGAGGAAGCTGGGGTTCTGAGCTTCTGGGGCCACAACTTTCAAACTAGATCAGTTCAATACCAAATACTACGACACTCTCGGTCATATGCTTCTGATTCTTTCTTCTGTCCTTTTCCACACCTCCAAAGTTCCCTCGATGTTATCCCTAGCTCACAAGTTGCCTCACGTGTGAAATGTACCTAAAGCTAGATCTCATGGTCTAATGTCTTTGCGATTCTCGATCTCATCGGTAGGGCACGACAAATCTGCTAGATTTAATGATCGCAGCATATGAAAAAAGATAGAGCGTAGGTAGAGTAGACGATCAAGGATCTTGCAAACAAGAACAAACTATAACATACTTCACTCAACGAGACCCAGGCCTTCATCAACTATTCGAGTATATGCTCACTTGTGCACAATTATGAAATCTCCAAGTACCACACCAGCGCCGTACACAAACATTAGAAAGCTTCCAATATGTCCTCAAATCCTAGTCTTCACCCGGACTAAGGCAGATTCTGTATGGAAGCCTAGCATTCTCTTTTGCTTGGGGCCCAAGATCGGTTACTATCGCCTAGTTGGGCGATAATGTGTTGAAGTTTATGGGATTCCAGGGGCTTTTATCGAGTGCCAACATTTCCGGTTTCCAGGTCAGATTCTAAAAAATATAGTTTTGATTCACTGACAGAGAATCATGACTTCGGACTCAACTTTGAGTGAGATGAATTGTCGCCGGAAATCTAATTCTGGGGTAATGAGACTAATCATACCCACGAACACGTAGTGATAGCTCCAGTGCCTCACATGCTAGTTGTTGCAGGTTGATATCATGACACCGAAATTGCCGAAATTAGTGAGGGCTTTACACTTTCCTCTTGATCCCTTCGACGATCCATCCCTTTGATACAATAAGATCATGGACTAACATACCTCCCTCACAAAAGGCCACTTCTTATACGAGTAGGTTCCCCTTCCTTTTTAAGAAAAAACATTGAAACGAACCAATCATCACGTGTCGGCAAATCAATTTAGGAAAGTCCGACCGGGGTGACTTCGGTGTTTTTTCTGAGAGCTCCCTTGGCTCTCCACCTCCGCAGGATGAATGAGAAATCATCATGATGGGGTGAGGGGCAACAAGTTATAAAGAGGGGTTGACTTTCCTATAATTCAAAATTCTCCATATCGTAATATTGAGAGTTTTGTTCTTTGCTAAACTTTTCAATTTTCAATACCTCATCTCAATCAAAATGGCAGATAAGACATACAATGTTGGAGTAATTGGCTACGGGTTTGTATAATTCCTCGAAAGCCGTCGAACATATACTAATTGAAGCTTGTAGCTTGTCAGCCAAGGTCTTCCATATTCCGCTCATTCTTGTTACTCCATCCTTCACCCTTCACTCAATTGTTCAACGAACACCTAAACCAAACGACAATGCCGCCCAAGATCATCCAGAAGCCAAAATCTACAACTCCGCAGATGCTATGTTTGCAGATTCGGAAATCGATATCATTATCATATCCACAACCCCCGAAACACATTTCCCTTTCACGAAAGCCGCTTTACAAGCTGGTAAACATGTAATGGTAGAGAAACCATTCGTTCCTACATCCGCGGAAGCTTCAGAGCTTATATCTATATCCAAAGAAACTGGAAAGTTTATCTGCGTATACCAGAATAGAAGATGGGACTCTGATTTCTTGACTGTCAAAAAATTGATGGCAGATGGTGTATTGGGAAGAGTGGTTGAATTTGAGACACACTTCGATAGATTCAAGGGCGAGAAACCCGCAACTTGGAAGGGCACATTGACCATGGAGGATGCTGGCGGCGTTATATATGATCTAGGAACACATTTGATCGATCAAGCATTTTGCTTATTTGGCCAACCGAAGACAGTAACGGCGATCTTTACGAATCAAAGAGCTGATGGCTCGGCAGAACCAGATAGTATCACCGTAATGCTGAATTATGGCGAGAAGGGACCATTAGTAACCGCAAAGGCTGGGGTAAGCATCAAACACTGTTTTTAATCACAGCTTACTTCTCATACCTCGAACATCACTAATAAACAATTCATAGGTTCTGTGCGTGGAAGAAGAGCAATTACGATATTGGGTTCGAGGATCACAAGGTAGCTTCAAGAAGTACCACCTTGATATCCAAGAAGACCAATTGAAGGCCGGTCTTAAGCCGGGTGATGCCAACTTTGGTATTGAATCAGAAGATAGGTCTGGAAGATTAGTGGTTTTCGAAGATGGAAAACCTAAGGGCAGCACCTTCAAGAACGTGACTCCGCAAACCTATGCTGCTCTTTACCAAGGCTTTGCTGATGCTATAACTAGTGGCAGCGAAGATGCTGTTCCAGTGAAAGCAAGCGAAGCTAGAGATGTTTTGAGGATTATTGAGGCAGCCAGGGAGAGTGCTAAGAGTGGAAGAACAGTTACGCTATAGCTATAGGTGGTCCTTTTGTGACTTTCCCATGGATGGATCAGCGATGAATGTTCCACCAATTCCTGTATTTCTTCTCTATCAGTAGATTATACCCATAGTAATAGACCATGTTGATTTGAAAGTGGGAAGATCTACGGATGTGCTGTTTCTAGTTGCCTGTGGAGTAGGTGATAGGTATATCCGTTCGCGATCCGGAGATAAATCAAGTACGAGAATAAACCCGAAGCTAACTGCACGTCATCTCACACCCTTTTCTATATATATTCCATGAATGTTTCTCACCAACGAATTTAGAAGGCGATGTTTCAATTCCTTCCAAGAATAAGACCAAATATTCAAAGATCGCTCAAAATGTTACCTCTAATCACCCTCGAGGAACACTTTCTTTCCTCCGCAGTGCTTGCCGCCCAACAAGCAAACGGGACCCCTGATCCATTTGCAGGGTTCCCAGTTCAAATCTCCAGGAAACTAAAGTCTCTTGACAATGAACGGATAAAGGATATGGATGATGGAAACATTTCTCTACAAATTCTGTCTCATGGTCCTATGGATCATGCTCCTCTTAAATTGTGTCAAGAAATCAACGATGAACTCGCAGCTGCCATCTCCAAGAATCCTTCCCGTCTAAAAGGCTTCGCAACCCTGCCTATGGGATCGCCTTTAGAAGCCGCTCAAGAGTTAGATCGTTGCATCAATGAACTCGGTTTTGTGGGTGCGTTAATTGATAATCACCTTGATGGCGAATTCTACGACGATGAGAAATTCTGGAGTGTTTTTGAAAAAGCTAGTGCTTTGGATGTACCTATCTATATTCATCCCAATTTCACAGCTGAAAAGGATATGAGTAAATATCGTGGGAATTATCCAGAGGGTGTAGCGATGGCGCTTAGTAATTGGGGACTAGGGTGGCATTTCGATACCGGGCTTCATTTTTTGCGTCTCTATGCTGCGGGAGTGTTTGATCGGTTCCCGAAGTTGAAAATTGTGTTGGGGCATATGGGAGAGCTTTTGCCGTTTAATTTGGACAGGATATTAAAGGTATCGGGGAGATGGGGAAGGGAGAGAGGATTAGAAAAGGTTTGGGAGGAAAACTTGTGGGTTACTACTAGTGGGATGTTTTCGTTGGCGCCGTTGGCGTGTTTGGTGCAGACGAAGGGGAAGGATAAGATTTTGTTTAGTGTTGATTATCCATTTTCGGAAAATGGGACGGGGAGGGAGTTCGTAGAGAGGGTGGTTAAGAGTGGGCTTTTTGGGGAGGAGGATTCGGTGGAGATGAGGGGGTTTGCGTTTGAGAATGCGGAGAGGTTATTGAGGGTCAAGGCGAAGGAGTGAAGTGGTATTCGGGGTGGAAAGTCTGGCTAGTGGTCGGATATGCTTTGTTATACTTTTCTACTTTACATCTCAACTTCATTGCCGGTTGGGTATTTGGAAATTTGATTGATACTCCTCCTGCTTGATCTTCATATTCCTCTGTTTGAAAGAGAAAAACTTATACACTAGCAGCAGCTGAATCACTGAGAGCTATTAGCTACACAGGTGCTCATAAACGATGACAACTTAGAAATATTAGGAAGCAATGTTGATGTGCAGATTACAACCGCGATATGCGTGTATACTCTCTGGAAGGAAAGTGCACCCTCTTCTTCCAAGTTTCACGCTTCAGTTCTTTCCCTTTCAAGTCTTCCCGAGACTTGACCTCGCAAAAGACTCATGCAGAAGAAAAATAAGTTCTCATTGCACAGTTCATCCATCCGAGCTTTTGACATCATCTGAAGTCTTACGTGAATCATTCGATATTCTCGAAATCATTTACAACATGCTTTTTCTTCGCTTTTTAGTGAATTTGTCTGGTGCCAATTAGCTTCTGCTTTTGAGAGGTCAATCTACTAGTCCCAAGGATATATTTCAAATAAATTCAGTGAACACTATCAGAGTCAATTGATTCCCATTTCCAAGAGTTTCATCCTCGCTGTCTTTGTCTACCGTTAACCAGAGTACTTTCAATTTTTATTCCAAACCTCTACCGGATCACAATTGGATCAAACTCCCGCAGTATTCACTTGGTACAAGGTCAGCTTACCTTTCTCTTCCTCGGCATATCGAACCAGGAAATTCTGGCCACTTCACATTCGAACTCACAACTTACGAACCCACGATCTACAATATCTCTCCTTTCTACTCTTCAGCAACCTAGCTAATGTACAACCACTATCAAAGCTCGCGCGCGTCTTGAAGCTCCCTCTCAAAAAAAATCCCATACATGCAAGCCTGAGTCTACGATCTCAGTTGTTGCGGATTTTCTTACCTTGCTGCCGCTCTCGTCAACACGTACTCCAATATCTCTCACTTTCACTCACTTGCCAAAAACGGATACCCCTCATCTTTTCCTACCAACTCTATTCACTATCCTTAGCGTGAAAACGAAAGACTTCTCAATCTATTACTTTCCCACTTCCACCTTCTTTCAAACTTCTCAACTACAACCTCCACCTCCCATACCTCCGTCGATCCATCTCGACTTCTCTCGATTCTTTCTATCCATTTTATCTTTTGCTTTACCATCTAGCTGCTTTTATTATTTGCATCCTTCGACTTATTGATAACTTTATTCGAATTTTACAATCATGCCTCCAAAGGCCCCTCGTATGCAATACCAGCGAGGTGAGAAGGTCATGCAGGTTGATGATCCTGGCAATCATGCTTTTAAAGCTCAACCCGTCAAGAACGGCAGAAAGAGAACAGTGAAGAACAATCCAATCGAGATTGATTCCGATGATGAGCAATCCCAACCATCCAAAAAACCTCGTCCAAGTATGCCCCAGATCCTTACAATGTCAATCAATGCATTTGGGATTCAATCGCTAACCTCAGAATAGACCCTCGCGCCTCAAAATCAACCATTTCTAATGCCAAGCAAGGAAAAGATGTGGTTGAATACATATCAGAGTCAGAAGACAGTTCCCACCCAGAAGTCGTTCCTTGTGCAAATTTGCCACTAAGAAAGCTTTTCAAGCCATTCGCAGACCACGATGCGGACATTTACATCGTACTCATTCAAAAGAGTCCTGAATATTCATTCAGGATGCACTCGTATATACTGAGACGCGCCTCTCCTTGGTTCGCTGGGCAGTTGCAGGAAAACTTGGTCAATGAGGTGGATGAGAAGTTAGCAGCTACGATTACCCAAGATACTGGAATCAAATATAGATTTGAACTTAGGTTTGATGATCATCTTGGGTATCACACGTTGAAGCGGGTGGTAAGTAACTTTCCTTGCTGTCTGAAACTCATGCACCTCTACGCTAAACTTGAACACATGTAGCTAATATCTGTAGGGACTCACAATGTACAAGCAACAACCTCAAGCTATCATCAATAGAGATATTCCCGATCCCAGCAATCGCTACAACGGCTGCTATAATGTCTCTAACTATGGTTCATCTAACTCTCGTCAATCGTCGGTATTCTTGCCACAATTCGATGGTTCGTGTGACGATATTGAAATGGCAGAAACAATGAGTAATCCTCGTGTATCTCCTGATTTTGATATATCCGTCTTCCTTTCGTCTCCAGGTGCCCTTCAATCTACTCAAGGATCAATCAGTGGATCTCAAGGAAATGAGAATGGCATCAAGTTACAACCAGATACCATTGTTCAATCGAATAGTGCCGAACCTGATCTACCAGCCCAGAACAATGTGACGAAGCAAGTTGCAACACCACCTACGAGTCCCACCAAGGTGGTAACTGAAACCGAGACAGACCAGACAGTGATTCAGAGTCCACAGATCGACGCAAGCCCCCAGACTGACCTTGCAGATCGAATCATTCCAACAGTTGATACGGCTATGAAAGCAGAGATTGAATCCGAGGAACAGATACTCTCGCCAAGTCTTCCAGAACACAAGTCGCCAGAAAGACAACTTGAAGTTCTTTCGAATGTGGAAGAAAAGGTTGATGAGCAATTAAGCATCGAATTACAGAAAAATGAAGTGCCACCAGGGCGCCAAATCTCACCCGAAGAACAACTTCAGGTTGCTATCTCCATGGAAAATCCAATGGGACCTGAGATAAAAATCGAGGAAGCACAGCAAGCTACAATTTCGCTTTCGAAGCAGCAATCCAAGATTGGCCCAATTGTCAAAGAACCGTCTAGCAATTATGTTGTTGAACAGACAGACATTCCCACCGCAGAAAAGCCAATCAACAATGTAACGTTCCAAAAGCTAGCCCCTCTGAAAGTTGAGCAAAAAATCCTCGATGCTTATCGTTCCCTTTTCCTGTGTTACTTTGGTTGTGCCCCCACGATTTCTACAACAAATGCTGCAATTGCCGCATCACAGTCCATGTTGCTGATCAAAATCGCCAATCTCTATGGCTCAGCGAAAGTTGTTAGACCTTACATAGTTGCATCTCTCCTTTCCCTAGGACGTAGCCTATACGCATCCATTCGTCGCAACCCTCCTTATTTCCTGCTTTTGGCATACAAGCTCCAATGCTCTCCTATCTTCAAGGAAGCCCTCATCCATATCGTAGGACAATACCCCTCCTGGCCATGGCTCACTAAGGAGGATCGGATGGGCCACGATCTTGGCAGGGTCATTCGAAAGAAATTCGAAGATCTCCAAGACATGAGATTCGAAGCCAATGGCCCACTCTTTCAGAGCTGTATCGTCAAAGAAAAAGTAAGAGTCAGCATCAATAATTTGGACCGGTCGACCTTTGATGTTTGGGTTATTGTTCAAATCTGGCACGATTGGTTCTCTCAACAATTACGCCATTGCACATTAGTTCAACGCCACGAGCACCGAAATGTGGAAAAGAACATGTATAAGCTAATTGCTCAAGGCGGTGATGCGTATCTCAAGATCGACGATGTTATGGCAATGATTGAACCATTCAGAGCCGGCTCAGAAGCCAGAGAGTGGGGACATTGGGAGAAGGACCAGGTTGAGCTGCAGTTGAATATTTTAAAGGAGAATGCCGCGAAGAGGGTCGGGGATTTGATGGTAAACGAGTTAATGGGTGATACCGGCGGAAATGCTGGTGAAATCGAATATCTCACTTGCACCAAAGTCCATGAGCATGAGTTGCCCTGGACTGAAGCACAAATGGTTATCATTGAGGATTAGGGCTAAAATTGGGGACGGAGCAAATTATCAGAATGAGTGAGAGGGTCGAAAAGGATGATGAGCTTGCTTCGGATTGCGGAGGTATTCTGATGGTTGAAAATCACTCGTGCGAGCTGGTATTTTCATCCTATGAATATTCCAACGCGAACAAGAGCCGCCACATCGTTTTCTTATTATTTATCTATCTTGCGAAGTATCGTTATTATTTTTCCTCCTTTTATTCACTTTTATTTTCCTTTATTTGATGGAGATGGATGGAGAATGGGATGTTACTTACTTATTATTTGCGAACACAATATCAGATATGAACTGCTTTTATCATAGCGGACGGAATGGACATGCACGAAATGATTCCAGGGTGGAAATCAATAGCTAGAGAAGATACTTTTTAACAAAACGAACGAATGAATGAAAATTTCCTTTTCAATAATATCATGATGTTGTTCCTTGAACTTGATCCTAGCAAAAATCATCCTAAATATGATCTTCTGGGCAGATGATACCATGTAGCACTTAAATCTTCCAAAGAACGCCCCTCTTCCATATGCACCAACCATTCCCGTTGTGACCAGCTCGGATAACGCCAATCCCGCTAGATTTGTATTTACACCCAACCTATTATAGTAATTCCGCATTCACAAACGATCATTTCAAACTCCCGCCAAACAAATCTTGCTCTTCTTTTAACCTCTGCTCCCGCTCCATCTTTCTCTTCTTGATAATCTTCTCTTCATCTTCTCCATCTTTGCCTTCTACACCTTCCCTCTTCATTTTTTGTAGTCCGACTAGATCTGCCTTTTCGGGATTTCTACATTTCTTTAATTTCTTAACAAGGGCTTGGATTTCTTGTCTTTGTTCGGGAGTTTGTTCCTCGGGGATTGAGGAGAGTGTTTGAGCGAGGTTTTTGATTAGGGTGAGAAGTTTTTGGTAGGTAGATGTTGCGGTGTTTGTATCTGGATTTGAGGGATTATAGGATTTCAAAGCGAGGTAGAAGGTGGTTAAAGGGGCGGAAGCGAGATAGAGGGATGCGAACATTATTTGTGAAGGCGTATAGTGAAAATAGGAATCGCATAATAGCGCGCTTGTTTTCAGATAATGGCGTGCGTGTCCGTGGCTTTCCAGTATTAAGTTGTGCATGTTTTCGGGACGTTGGGATTCGAGTTCTGCGGGGATGGATATTTTGTGGGTGGAGATGGCGAGGAGTTCCATGATGGCTCCTTCGAGACCGCGGTAGGGGTGGCGGATGTCGAATTGGAAACGGAGACCTTGGGTTAGAAGGAATTCTGAGGAGAGAATCTCTTCGGTGGTGGTTTTGCCTATGTCGCTTGCGAATCTGGTGATGCGGAAATAGTGGTTTTCGGTTTTGGTGGCGAAGAAGAGGGCGGTTTTTAGGATGGTCGTGGGGGTGTAGGTCATTAGGCTGTGGCTTATGTAGAAGCGGCGGATATATTGAATTGCTGTGGCCTAGAGTGCAAAGAGATGTTAGGATATATGTTGAGCAAAGACAAGTCGCGCATATTGTGATTCAGCAGACATGCACCAGCATTTCATGTCGAAAAGTGGCCGGTCGACTAGAACTAAAGAATCTCCGCACGAGAAGAACATACCTTGACCTCAATCGGCACACCCAAATGATCCCCCAGCTGTAGCGTTTGTCTACAATAATAATCCAGTAACTTCAATTCCTCGTCTACCGTCAAACAATCCACATCTCCATCCGGTAGGGCAGTACTAGCAGACCTGCTATTCTCTGCTTCACTATTGTCATTTGAGGATGCAGCACGAGCTTCTCTGGCGCGTCGAACGGCATCTCGAACTTGGGTTGTAGCTAAGGCATTTGTGCTTTCGCGCAAGGAACGGAGTGCGGACGGTGTGTATGACCAGTGACGATATTGAGTGGAAGTACGATAGCGGGCGTCTTCGGTAGACATGGTGAATTCTTGTGAAAATTAGTAAGAGTGGTTATGGCGCATGGTTGAATTGTGAGGTTATTGATAGGAAGGAGCTCGGAGTTCATTCATATCTACGATATTATTTATGAGGTGGAGCTTGGTGCAGGGGTACTGGAAATACTTTAATCCGTTGATTGGCTGGCTGAACGTTGTGCATCTTTTGAAATGCTTGCAGGGACTTATATTAATTACAGTTCATTTATCAAATTAGCATAGATGTAGAAGAGTTTAACAATACTTCTACTGCTTTTCATCAAAAGATAAATATCCAAATGTGACATGTCGACTCCGTTACTCATCATGTATCATACTCCTATCACACGGCAATCCGAGCCGAGGCAATGGTGGGCACCGGAACACAGTCAAGGTAATATGACAGGATGAAAGCTTCAAAGAAATCCATTTTGATAATGATCTTTCGTAAATCGATCATGATACAAAACAACTGAAGACCTTGCCAACATGTATCGCTCCATCATTCGGGTCCAAAGAGTCAGTCGTTTGGCTTCTCGTCGCTGTTACAGTAGTGGACCTAAGATAAGTCACGATCCCACTTTATCGACAAAAGATGAAGACAGCAACACGCGGACAAAGGGTTTAGATATTCAACATGCTACTCCGAGCTCGCCTGGAGTTCAAGACAATGCATACTCTTCATATAAACGTTCCAATGGCCAGTTTGTTTTCGATGCCCCCCATGGCCCACCTGTACCCTTGCGAAAGAAAACTCGGCCTCCAGCCTTCATACGGCCTCTTCTCAGTATTGAACTTTCTGCACAGGAAAAGGCAAACCAAGAGTTGATAAACTCGGCCGCTGATCTTGGAGAAGAGATTGTTCATCCAAAATTAGGAAAAGGTTATCGAGAGAATCTTCGTTTGCTCGATAACGGAGCATTCATGCCCATCAATTTTGCTGAAGGTCCGGATTCGGTGTAGGTTCACTCATCAAAGTTTGTTCCTGGTTTTGAGCGCTAACATATTTGCAGTCCGCGTCGATGGCTAAGGTAAGAAATGACAGAATCAGTTTAAACATCCAATGTATTTTCTTCTCGTGAACTACTCTGATGATGTTCTAGAGACAATTGTCGTTGTGCAAAGTGTAGACGTCCTGATACTATGCAGCGAGAAGTAAATATTTTCTCGGTAAATATCCCAATCACCACTACGGGTTATAGTCTGACAACTCATTAGTCTGACCTCAAAGTCCTACCGGATTCTATTAACAAAGCCAAGAAGGAGGGCCTTGAAGTGACATGTATGCACTTTGTCTTGCATTTCTTTTCATTGCTAATGGTTTACAGGGCTGGATAGCGCGGATAATGACGTTAAGTCAGATCATGTTACTGTTTACCCATGGGACTGGCTCCACAAACATCAAGTCTACCGCGATGCGGGAAAATTCCAGGCTCCTAAAGCTTCAATTGTTGGTGGGACCCATGGAGGAGATAATCCAGCGGAAGCAGAAGTGCCAATGCCTGATCCAGAGTAAGTACATCCCAATCATCATCCGTCACAATTTTCTGAAATCTTTTGTAGCAGCCATGAAGTTGTTCTCTGGGATTCGCTTATCGGAAAAAATCCACCTACTGTCAACTACGAAGAAGTCATGGCAAGTGAAACTGGCGTAGGAAAGTGGACACGCATGATTGTATATCCTCAAATTACTTTAAGCCTATATGTAATACGTTACTAATTTTACCCAGCACAACTATGGCTTCTGTTTCGTAGACGGGGTTCCAGTATCCCCTGAAAAGACTCAGGAGCTTCTGGAACGTATTGCTTTTATTAGACCAACACATTATGGTAAAATCTAGCTATTTTAGTACAAATGATTATCACACATTGACTAACGCATTTAGGTGGATTCTACGATTTCACATCCGATCTAACAATGAAAGACACCGCATACACCAGTGAAGCCATTGGTCCTCATACCGATACAACTTACTTCACTGATCCTGCCGGCCTTCAGATGTTCCATCTCCTTTCTCATACCGAAGGGACTGGCGGTGAATCTCTCCTTGTAGACGGCTTCTGGGCCGCTCGCTTACTTCGCACTCGCCACAAAGATGCTTTATCTAAGATAGCAGTCCCCTGGCATGCTAGTGGTAATGATGGTATCAATATCACTCCAAATAGGCCATATCCTGTCCTTACTATGAATACAAATCGTGCTGCAACGCAAATTAGATGGAATGAGGCAGATAGAGGGACGATTCATCCCGGATACTCCCAGGAGTGGTACGAGGCGGCAAAAGCATATAATGATCGGGTTAATGATCCGAAGCTACAGTATTGGTCCCAGCTTGTACCTGGGCGCGCTTTGAGTGAGTAAGCCAAGTATCAAATGATGAAATTCCCAATTACTAATACTCAAGCAACAGTTTTCGATAATTGGAGAGTTCTTCATGGAAGATCTGAATTTACGGGTAAAAGGCGTATATGTGGTGGATACAGTGAGTTGAATTTCTTTCAAATACATTCGTTCTTGTGTAATCAAAGATACTAACAAGACACAGTCAATCGTGATGATTATGTTTCGAGATATTTGAACACGAATTTCACCCGCGAACAGATCTTGGAGAAGATACTATGATTGCGAGTACTATAGCTTCCTTCATCTATTCTTGTTTTCGGAAAGAATAAGAGGGTAGCAACCGATCAAATAGATGATGCCGTAGCTCCTCGATGCATGTGGCAAACTGCTACAAGATGGTTTATCAAGGCCGAGATTGGGTATTCTGGGTAGATCATAGAGAATGGAGATGCGCAAGAATTCTTAAGAATCAATAAGTATTCAATGAATCCACTTACAGTCTTCGATGACTTTCACTTGAAGCATTTACTGCTGAAGGGGTTCACTCAGGTTGGGGATATCGAGTGTCAGTGTACGGTTCTTTTTCGCGACCTTGAGAGAACAATCCGTGATAGAATAGTATGCTTCACCATCGACATAAATTCTCTATCATCAGATTTCTTGCTACCTGATTTTAGAATTTCGGAATGCTATTAATCTGCAGTCACAGGTTGAAAATCCAATCATCTCTCATCGTTGCATTACTTTCTGAAACTTGGAAAACCGCTATCTCATCATGCTATTTCTACCATGAACCTATCCTGAGATAACTCTATGATTTCCTTTCATCGCTAAAATTGCTTGTCCAGATCTTTCAGCCGTCTCTCGAGACCAGATCATCTATTCCCGCTGTTGTAAAGCCTCCCAATCCCTCTCTTCCTCCCGCATTTCTGAAAGAATACTTTCCAAATATTCAGATGATTCTCTATCTGGATTAAAGAACTTCTCCTCTATTCCAAGGCTTTTGAGCTGTAGTGATGGATGTAAGTAATTTACTATGAGAGATGATGATCTGAAAATTCAACACCATGATGTTCTTGCAATGGCTCAACATAAAAAACAGAACGCTTGTTCCAACATTCAAAAAAAAAGCCAAAGAGTGAGATCAAAAGGACACAACGGAGCGGTATTTTGCTATTAACGAGAATCAACAATGCTTACCTTCGCATCAATCCTCTGTTCTCTCTCCGCAAAATATCTCTGCTTGTATCTGTATTGTCTAAGGAAATATTGCTCCCTATTCTTGGCTGCCTTGAACTTCCCATCCAACGTCTCACTCTTCTTATTAAAACGTTTTGTTGCCTCTCTGGCTCTCTTTACACTCATGTTGAACTCCCTGACCGTAGTGTTGAATATATATTGCTCGGCTCTGAGTACGCCTAGCTTTCTCTCGTTCTCCCCTTCCATCTTCTTGAACGTTCGTAGCTTGCGGAGGTGTTAGTTACGATCTGGTGTGTTTCCCTTGTGTTCCATTCATTACCTTGTCTTCAAGCTCGACTTTCGCCTCTTCGAATTCATGGACTTGTTTTTTATGATCCTCTTGTAGTTTCTTAAATTCCACTTTCTGGATTTCGAGATCTTCGTATTGTTTAGCAATCGAGGGGTCTCGTTCATTCTGTCTGTCGTCGTCGCGGGTTCGACTACCTAGCGGAGCTTCATTCTTCGGAAACATTCGGTCATCCAACCGCGCTCGATCCATATCGCCAGAATCCATTTTTCAATCGTTGATTTGATTTTTTGAGTGATGATAAAATCTCACAAACCAATATCGCCCTCAGCTACCTTAACTTTCATCACGAGGATGAAGCTCCAACTCAAAACTAAAATTGCAATACCAATACTCGCAAGTACTTTCAGCTCAAGGGATAAAATCGGTTCTTCTACCGGTAACTCGTCAATAAGAATAAAAGAGTGGAAGCTCCACATAAGAAAGTCCAAGAATTTTGAAATGCGGAATGAAAATGGGAGAGCGAAAACTATGTAAAAGATTAGAGCTATTATTATGAAGGGGCCAGGTATTTACTTAGAATAATTATGAGATTACCATTGCATTTTTTGTTTTATCGCGTTCAAGAGGTGTGCTATAGTTGTGATAGAGTTAATGTCTCATACTGTCGGGATACAGAAAGAGCAAGGACGGTCAGTTGTGCCTGTCCATATTTCCTCCTATTTACCCCGATGCAAAAACTCTGGGAAAGGGCATTTCAGACTGCTTCCCGCCTCCAGGAATCACGAGATGTAATTGAAGGCCCATTGCAAGTACCTACTTTGCGTATCAATCTGGCGCTTTCCGGGGCTTTTTGTATTCTACTGTTGACTAGAGATATTGTCTTTTACCACCTGAAAAGCTGATTTTTATTGTTAAATACAGATAGTCATGCTACATATACCCCACTCATCTAAGATCTACCAGCTCTAGATCTCTGGTCAATCAATCAGTGCAAGAGATGGTCGTAGGTATTCAAAGTTTGTTTGCTCGAAATCACAAGAAGATGTTGAGCGATGTCATATGTTAGGAATAGATGAGATGATTTACATTCGTTCTGCTACTAATAAATACACCGCATTATCACAAAGCTGGATTCTTCACTATCACTTCATCACAAATATGCACATCCTTCTTAAAATTGAAAGCTATACATTTCCATCAGACGTAAACCCAAATCGTCTGTCAAGAAATCAGCAATATATTCAGTATGAAAAAAGAGCCTGCACTTACTCTGGCTAAAATCGATGTCGAAAGTTCAACGTATCGATTAGATCACTTAGCTCCTCATTTGAGGGTACCCAGCTAGCACGAACGAGGACGTGTGATCAAAGCTAGCCGCCCTATAGACAAATTAGAAGTTAGACGAGTGGATATACTTATCGAATTGAACCATTTTTCCTCCCCTTACCAGCTCTCATGAAGCCCCATCGAGTGAGCTTCCAATGAGACTGTCCTGAACCCAACCAAACCAAGGAGATATCGCCAAAACACTTCCTAAAAGAAGTGAAAAGCTTCAACCAAGGAGATATCGCCAAATCACCTCCTAAAAGAAGTGAAAAGCAGGACAGCACAAGACCGAGGGGTATAGCGTGAACAGATCACCGAAGCGAAAGTGTTCGACAAGCGTTCCCACAAGAGTCGAGTGTGTCAAAATAATCCCGTCGAGTAACTGGACGGGCACAGTATAAATCCATCGAATGCATTGGAGATCCTAAAAGATTCTCCATTATGTGCAAATTCGAAGTGAATGAGAGGGCGAATTCAAGATGTTGTAGAACAACAAATTGGTGAAGGTGGTGTGGGCGAATGTTGATCAAGAAAGAATCTCTGCTTGTCGTCTCGAGAGCAGCAGAGGGCGCATTCTTCCTTGGCCAACGAAGTGGTGTGTGTGAGAAGTAAAGATGTGGTGTGATGTGAATCATTTAAAATGATAATATAATAATCTAACCTGTGACCTGAAACCTTTCCTGGAATATGGTGGTGTAGCCGTAGTCGATCGTCGTCGATCGTCGTAGTCGTTGGGATCGGGGAATCGTCGATGGTTCGTGGGTTCGCGTTGGGGATACTTCAAAGTGATTAGCAGCTGTCTTGGATGTGAACATAGGATGGAGTGAAAACTAACCAATCATTCCGAAGGTTATGATCTAAATTCGAGCGACCACAGCTCGTATGTCTCTAATCTGTAAACCATTAACGAGCAAAAGTAAGGCAAGATGGGATTTTTGATCCCATCAAAAGAAAAACTCCCCCATTCCCCATATCCCCCATGTCCCCCAAGTAATGACAAAGGAAATAAATATATACAAGATGCGATGTTCGCTTTTTTGGTGATTGTTTTGTGATACCTTGAAGGATAGATAATTGGGTTACCAATCCAAAAATCCATTCCAACAAGGCCTTTATTTTAAGATTTTTTTGGCGATGGCTTATGAGGCACATCTGTTTTGGTTGAAAAAAAAAAGAAAAGAATACTAACCTGAAGTCCGGGGATTCCAGGAAAGGCCAAGGTCAGGTCACAGGTTAGTAGTTAATAGAAGATACAGTGCATCAATTCCCACCATGAAGGATGCAGTTGTATCGACTATATTGGTCCCTTTGGACGTGATGAACTAGAGCATTTGGATCATCTGACTCGAGCACATCATCAGAGAAATCGACTTCAGGATCGCAAAATCCTTCAATCACACTTTCTCTGCACTGTCTACACAGTGTGTGCTCTTTGCAGCGATCAAATCTACTCTGTTCTTCTGGGGGATAGAAAAGACTATCCCGTTTAGTGAACCATCCAGTAGGGTTGCCTTGCCGATCCATCTCCTCAATAAGAGGAAAGCTCTCATGGGGCATTGACCTAGCCCCTGCATTGTTCTCACGAAAGCATACCATGTCCTTCTTAACCACGTAAGTGGCAATCTGACCACGGATACAATCGTTGCTTGGTCCTACAAAGCGAACTCTTTTCGCAAAGCGATTAGAGGAGCTCTTGAAGCAGGACTTCAGCTGAGAGACAATTGGGGCATCTGACATCTCGATTTCCATTGAAACAACTTCAGAGATTTCGGCATATGCCGACGCAACTTCAGTTGGAACAATATCAACCGGGGGAGGGATGGCAGATTGGATGGCTTCGAGAAGTTGCGCGCCAGCAACAGAAGACAAACTAATAGTAACCTTGGGTGATTGACGAGAAGGTTTTCTATAAGTTGGTCTTTTCTCCGAGGCAGAAGGAGAAGACAATCTAACAAAAGTCTTTCTCTTCTTCTCTGGAGAAGAAGGTACAACCACGGAGGAGCCGACAAACTCTTCAACTCTGTTTCTCTTCTTTACAGAAGGAGAAGCAACGAGTTGGGCTGCTTGGGGCTCTGGAAGCACCTTGATTTTAGGTAGAAGAGGGGCAGCCTGGATGACAACAGGTGCAGCCTCGATAACAACTGGGCAGCTGATAATAGGTAGAAGAGGGGCAACCTGGATGGCAACAGGTGCAGCCTCGATATCAACTGGGTTGTTGATGATGTAAAAGCAGACAGCAACCACAAGGGCTGTGCCTACGAAGGTGAGAATATCTGTGAAAGACATTGCAACGATTGATGTTAGAACAAAAATCGGCACGCCGACGTAGATAAGTAGAAAGTGAGGTAAGAGGTAAGAGGTAAGAGGTTGGTAAATAGATGGGTATCGATGAGTTGGTAGCTCAAAGATAAAAGCAGTAAGAAGTCAGAGTATGCAGTAAAAGAATTAGATTGAGAAAATCAAAGTAATCAAAAGCGCATACGATGGAGAGGAAAGAAGAAAGAGAAGAAGGGAAAGAAGAGAGGACAGCGACGTGAGTATGAAGGATACAAAAAACAAACAACGCTATAATCGAGTGATCTGCTAGTTGGTTGGTGTTAATGTTGTTGACATCACTAAAGGATTTTTTGAATTTGGCACCGACGAGGGACTTTTTTGGTCTCATGGCAACCACCAGATTTCTGCCTAGCAACCAAACTATATCTGGTAAGTTCAGATGATAGTCTCTCGATTCTTCTATGTGAACTTATGAACTAAATATTGATCATCGTACTGATCATTTCTAATTATGCTAATGACCATAACCATATTTCGTTCCTATTAATCCATCATCTTTACATAGGTAATTCATGCGCCTCAAATACAATATCATATCAACATCTTACTTACACCCAAGAAGTCTTGATTCCCTCTCTGGCTGTTTAATCTTGTATACCCGATACAGACATTTTGGGAATGCACCTATGTATACACATAAGGAAAGCTTATATGAACATGTCAATAAAGCTACCAGAAAAGCTAAAAAAATAAACATCCACCATAAGGCTTAGATAAAGTAGCACAACGAACATCACTTAGATCAAACTCTAGACTTATTTACATCTCCATGATCAAACAATATACACTGAATCGATCTTCAGATCAACGTTGAAGAAGGGAAGCTCATGTATCTCATGCTCAGGAATTAAACTAGGTTGATATGTCGGAATGAATAGACATACCCCAACATTGCAGCCCATTCTACTTCCACAATTCTTCTCGCTGCGATATCATAGAGCTTGCAACTTAACCTCTATATATACAAGTTAAGCGTAGTCATAGGTAATCTACCCTATTTCTAACAGTCATGCCAGTAAACAAATGAACCACAAAACCCTACACCTGTCAAATAGTAAAAACGCAAGAAATAAGGTTTATTCCTCTATTTTAGCTCACCATCTGAAGGCGGCAAGGGCCGATCAAGGTCTAATTAGTATCACTAGCCGCAAACTACAGATCCAAACGAAAGCTTAAATCTACAACAACAAATTTTTATCCGATCTCTATAATGACGTGTAGCACTAACACTCAACGGAAGCATATTACGAAGTAATTGCTAACAATCTACTGCCCTCATTTTGCATCACATAACCTTCTCTTCAAATCCTGTTGTCAACCGAAAACATGACGTGCGAAATAAATATGACTAGGTCCAAAAACTACAATACTGAAGCAGAGAATAACTTCCGCGTTTGTTATATACACTATAGTGTAAAATGTAACGACAATAAGAGCGAACTCAATAACATATATACTCGGGATACCGATACTGAAGGCGTGGTATTGATCTATTGTGTAATGGTGTAAAAGCTAAATCCAATGCCAAGACTATTAGACATGCAACAGTACCTATGAAAAGGTCAAGCCACTAACCAAAAATATCACAGGAGCTAAATCGATGCCAGGATATTCAGATATGCAACAAATGAAAATTAGTAGTCGGGAATATTGAAACTGGGGGTTGTGCGGGTAAGTTAGTAGAGAAGCCAATTTGATGGCGAGATTGTTAGATATGGAATAGAACATGGGATATATTACTGGTAATAGGAAAGCTGGGAGTGCGTTTATCAGCTGTTTCATTACTCGTTGGTCTCTTTTTAGGAGGTTCGTTTCATGTATATCTCTCATTCTGGCGTATATCGATGCTCTATCTATGACATTGAAATTGGGAGCTCTAGGACTATATTTATAGGTAATTCATTAATTCATACGAGAATCACAGAACAAAAGAAATTGGGATAATCCATCTACCATAAATCTCATTCTTCAAATCCGTCCGTTGTAGAAGTATCCTCACCTCCAGAAATTGAATCTTGTACTTGATGCATCACCCATGAATTTAACTCGACTTCGTGATTAGCTTTTCTAGAGTTCTAAGACCCTTCTCTTCGTGCTAATTTTGATGTGCATGCACGTTTGGGATAATATCTAGATGGCTACTATCTAACCACTTGGTTCTTCAGTGGAGATATAATGTAGTCCAGTATACATGAGATCAACCCCGTCACTTTTTCATACAAGCGATTCTTCAAGATCGGGATTTTGATATAATCCTCAAACGTGAGACTAGGGAACAAGATGATACTCAAGAAAATACAAAGAAGTAGAATAGAAAAATGAAAAAGCCCAGCGGAATGGGAGGTTAAGGAGTATTGAGAAAAGAAAGTCAAATCATGATAATCCGCAATATCAATGATCTTCACATATCTGCCTCATCCTGCCCACCCACAACTTCACAAAACTCAAGATACACCGTTAATCGATGGTATATGTATCCTATCTCCCACTATCACACCGCATCACATCACATCACATTACCTCTCAAATCAAACCCAGCAAAACTCCTCCACAAACTTCTTCTCGTCCCTTCCACCCCTCTCTCCTCTCACAACCCACAACCCACAACCCACAACCCACAGCCCACAGTCCTCGGACTTGAATCAAACTCAACCACCATCCTTCCATCCCATTCACACGTGTAATCTCTTCCCATCTCTACCTCACAACTCTCTACCAATTTTCATACTCCCCACACTCTTTCCCGCTCTACACAAACACAAAATAGGCAATCAACCAAGTAACTCCTATCTCTCCATCCACATCTCCCATTCACATCTCTCATTCACATCTCCCATTCAAATTAATCAATATGCAATCCACTCCCAGCTCCCCTCTCAAGACCTTCCGTCTCCTTCAAAGACACTCACTCCTCTTAACAAGCTCCTGTACTTCCATTCCACGATTCTCACCCCTCAGCAACCAAAAATCCAGTCATCTGCTGATCTCTCATCTATCCATGTATCCATCTATCCATCCAATCGTCTCCCAAGAACAAAGCTAAAAGTAAAATCACCTATCTACCTGTCATTCATAAGCCTACACCACATATCAAACTCCCATCCAACCCACGAGCTTGAATCCACCCTTCCAACCCCAAACTTCTCCCCCTTCCTCTTCCCCTTCCCCTTCTCCTTCATACATCCCTCCCACACTCAGAAATTTCCCTCCTAAAAACTATACAACAAAACACATAAACCTAACCACAACCCCAACCACATTCCAAAGTCCCCCCCCCTCAGATCCACAAAACCCACATTCCAAAATCTATATCTACACCACCCTCTCACCCTCTCACCCTCTCCCCCTCTCACCCTCTCCCCCTCTCACCCTCTCCCCCTCTCCCCCTCTCCCCCTCTCCCCCTCTCACCTTCCACCTTCCATCTTCCATCTTCCATCTTCCACCCCCCCCCCCCTTCAAAAAAACAACCCCCCAACCAACCAACCAACCAATCATTTTCCAAATTCAGAGCTCAAACACCAGCGTAATAACCTTAGACTTCTACGACATAAATAGATAGTTTTCTAGGGATATGAGGTTAAGATAATTAATTTGTTGATGTGATGTGTAAGATATAAGATAATGAATTATATATAGGTACTAACTCGTACTCTATTGTATTTTATTCTATTCCATCTACTTTATCTCATCCTAATCCTAATCCATCTCACCAATCACAATTTAGAATTCCTTTTATTATTATATAGATATTCATCATAAATATCCATTATAAATACTCATTATAGATACCCATCATAAATACCCATTATAGATACTCATTATAAATACCTATTATAGATACCCATCATAAACACAAATAAACACCATTCAATAAATCCATAAAAAAATTTAAATTCTCTAGAAAGTTTCAGGATATCATACATATTATATTATATCTCATCTCATTTTATCTTCTCTTTTATCTTCTCTTTTAAAAAAACTCCTATCCATTCAGCCAGCCATTCATCCATTCATATATTCCATATGAAATAAGATTTTACCACCCCATCAACGCCTACCTAGATAATTTATCTACCATGAAACGCCATGCTCATCCATCCATCCATCCACCCATCCGTCCATCCGTCCATTATCTAATCATGCCATAAATTCAAGATATCCCTATCATCTCACCTCACCTCACCTTATCTCATCTCTTTCTTTCTTTTTCATTCCATCCCATCACTCTCTACCCAATTAAAATCCACCCAAGACTCCATCCACCCATTCATGCATACCATTTCCACCATTCCAACCCAACCAGAACCCTCAATAATGCCACAGAATCTTCTGACTCAAGACCCTCGCCCCCAGCATTTCAAATTCCTTCTGCCCAATCCAACTCTCATGCATTTTCATTCTCGCAAACACACTCGCGCCCTTCCAAACCACCACTTGCCCATCCATTTCCCTCGGACTCGTTCCTACCAAGATTCTCTCCGCCAAATCGGGTCTCTTTTTCTGAAGTCGATCTTCGAGGAAGGGTCCAAAGCCCGGTGTTTTCGCACCACCGCCTATCAACATAATGCCACCATAGAAATCTCGCGCTTTTTTCTCATCATGTTTAGCAGCGTGGGTGATGGATGTGATGATTGCTGTATCCAAAGCAGAGATAGGGAGGACGGAATCACGTTCGATGGCGAGATCTTTGGCGGTGCGGGCGTGAACATCGACAAACATACCTGCGGGAGGTATGGGTGTCGTACCACTATGAGTACCATTGGTTCCATTAGTAGGACCGGGGGAACCGGCAGTATGTCCATTGTTTCCAAAGACAAATGGAGCTGGAGCTGGCGTGCTTGCACCCTCAGGAGCGGGCGAAGCTGCAGCGGAGGTAACGCTAGAATGTACTGCATTATCTGGATCTAGACGAAGTAGGTTAAACGGATTGGGCTTCTCTTTTTGAGGTGTAGAGAAGGACACATCAGCCATCCCATTGGATATGAAATTATTAGGATTATATCCATTTGCATTAGTTGCGATAGAAGGTTTAATCGCGGCCAGAATTGCAAGCTGAGCTGAAGATGTAGGGTCATCGGGTGTGTCGATATCATAAGCATTGTATGATCGATCCAAGAGCTTGCGACGACCGTTCAATTTGTCACTATTATCAAAGATTGAAGGATCGTAAAAGCCCATAGGAGCGAGAATAACCTCATCATATGTTTTGAAACCATATTTATGAGTAGGCTGATTTGGTGCGCGGAGATGAAAATTGTAAAGCTGGACAGAGATCTCGGCTTGATTCATAGTGCAGTACTTAATCTTTAATTCCTCCGCGAGAAGAAAGTCGTAACGTCGTTTAAGATTTATGTCGGCATATGGAAAGTGATCATAGAGCATCATTTTGATGAATGTTTCAGTAACATCATACCCTCCGTACTTGAGGTTGACTCGAGAATCCTCTATGCACATACCATCCTCTACACAGCAAATTGATGTCTTTTGTGCTCCAACGTCAACTACACAAGCACTTGTATAACCGGCTCCAAATGTAGCAGCATGACTTTCTTGTACAAAGGCGACCTGCTTGAACTCAAAGCCTCGAAGGCACATGTCCAGCATCTGTTCCAAATATTTCTTGTCGTAGAGATCCGGTACCACCATTACACAACTATATTGATCCCACTCACTACTTTTATCAAGACCCAGATCTCTTCTCATAGCCTGCTCAATGATTGTTTCGAAATCATCAAACATGGCTTCACGGACGTTGTAATCATTCTCATGGAACCATCCATGTTGCATAGGCCAAAATAATCTATATGGTGGGTCAGAATTGTCTGCTATCCGTTGCGCATCGGGACCTGTGAAAGTCGGCTTTGTCCCTTTGGCAGTATCCGTCCATTCCATTCGAAGTGGATCATTGTGTTCTGGAATTTTTTCTGGTTCCATACGGCGATTATAATTGACAACCAACTCTTTCGAATTCGGCAGTACCTTGCGCCTGTTTGCACGCATATCCACCTTCAAATCAGCACATTGTTTATTATATTTCTTCGACCACTCCTCTCCAAATTGCTGCTCTGGTGGGAGTTCAAAATCCTGGCGCTTGGGTCGAGGTTCGTATTCTTGCGATTCTGTCACCGGAAACCTTTCTGCGATTGCCATTATGACGGTCTTTGGGAGAGCATCGTTGGCCAAACCAATGCGCAAATTTTGACTGCCAGGGTGGATGACGATAATCTTCGACGCAGCTAACTCATCGGTAACATCTGTATCTTCTTCATCTTCATCCATGGGTAGTGGTACATCGGCAGTTCCTGTGCGCGCAAGAGCTCTGTCTTTATTTTTGGCATCGCGGATAAGTTTTTCTTGATTGGCTTCATTTTGCAGACGTGATGCAAGCAATTGATCATCGCGTTTTCCGAATTCTCTACAAATAAGTTAGTGGATGGTATAGATTGAATGGTAAGAATTGGGAAAAATTCAGAATGCAGGGCAAGAATCAAGAAAGTGAGATGCATACGTGTAATAATTCTTCTGATTAATTGGGAAGGCTTCAGGCCAACTTGTTTGTTTCAATCCATTATCTGTTCGCTCTAGACCTTCTTCCCGCATCAACGTCCTTCCAGATTTCTTTCCGCCGGCCATTTCGATAGGATCGAGATTGAATTTTGATTTCTCGAAGTCAAGGCCACCTTCGCGATAACAATGTGCACGGATGTGTGTTCTGTGTGTAGCTCCAAGGCGATGTGATTCAAACGGCACAGTAGATGTTAGTCGTAGGTTTGATGGGAGCGATGATTTTGGTGTAGCCTCATGGTTATCGTGAACCATAGCTAATGGCAATGGCAATATATCGGGCGGTGAAGCGTTTGATGATGAAGCTTGCTGATTGGATGTTACCCGAGAGACAAAGTAGCTTGGGGCCAAAAGCTGGTCAGGTGATCAGTAAAACATGAAACTATTCAGACATTTACTTGAACACAATGGGATGAGAGATTGCGATCTACAATGTGGTGTTCAAAGACTTTGAAATCCAAATTCACTCCTTTACACTTTCAATTTACTTTCTAAACTCAATCTTATCTTGTTGTACTATTATTATCCACTGAAGGGAAGGAACGTATGCACCCTTTCACCTCAAGGCCCTTCCCCAACATTAAGGGTCTGGATCAGAGAATCATGTGGTATCAATGGAACGTGAATATCTAGAGGTAGCAAGTTGCATGATTTCTTGTGGTATATCAAATGTCGAAAATCCTCTCTACAAAGTCTTCCTGGTACGGTACGCTCTGAAACATGTACATTTAGTTGTTCATATTCGTAATAAAGAATAGATGGATCTAGATGCAGTCCGATATGTTTATCAAGATAGTATCAATTGCTCAACCCTCCCGCAACCACAAAATCGAAATACATATATCCTCATAACATTTGACTGATCGTTTCTATGACTTGATGCTAAGAAAAGTATATTGCTCTTCTTCTAAATTATAGCGGTTCAATGAAGTGTAATTACAGTACAGTATATCGTTCGATTCAACCATGACTCTAACTCTCAAGTTGAAAGATAGTATCAATACCTACTCTATAAGTCTACCGAAGTGTGCAAGACAGATCTTGAAGATGTTCACGCGTAGTTGATCAGATGATTGAGGATATACTTTGAGTCGTACCTACCTATACTCCAACATCATACACGTTGGATGTGCAAAGGATATTAGATCTCGGCTGAGATTTTCAATGGTGTCAAATTCTAAAAAAAACAAAAACAAAGAAACAACTCAAGACTACCTGCAATACTGACGTACCAGATACATATTGTCAGTCCAATACTTCAAGCGCAAAGTTAACTACCTACGCATGATAATCGATCAGAGTCCCTCCCTCGGGTATACTTGACGGTGTATTAATTAATGCATGCACTTATTTCTTATTCTAAAGATTGAAGACCATCTAGACGAATTGGATGATATCTCAAATGGATGATTCAACAGGAAAGGATTTCCCAAATCAAAATTAGATGATTCTTTCTCGACAACACCATATGAATGAAGCAAAGCAAGATCTCAAATCTAGAAGATCTTTATGTAACAAGATTTGTACAGAAGGTTGATGAACACTGGGCAACAATTAGATGATCAGCACAAGCACTTGATCTTGCGTATTTCGGATTCGTACTCGTAGTTGTGGAACGAGAGTGTTTTTATAAAAATAGGAGAGAGACGAGATGGAGAATCTTCCTCACGCCTTCTAGAATGAATATTACCTCCAGCTACCTTGACATCTCCGTCCACTCTTCAAGCATTCCAAAGTTCACTCCACCTCAATCACAATTTTATGCAACTTGCATAAACTTGCAGCTTGGTCGGTGGCCAAACACACACGTATCTAGGTAGTCCCGAGGTCCGTTCTTCAAACAAGAACAATCACTCCTTCGCCAATCGTATTCGGTTCCGAAAGCCAAGAAACGGACTTGATACGTCCGTATCCCGTTTCCCCGATGTCTACCTAGGTAGTCTCAAAGCACCAAACGGACATAGACATACGCGGTAGGGAGGAGAAAAGCTTCAATGGATTGAACTCTCTAGCTCTTACTGAGTGGGGTAACTAAGATGAGACAGGGGCGGTTTGTTTTAACATCGGCTCCCTCAGTATTCTGGAAGAGGAGTTCGCTACGAGGTTAGTTACCTCGGGCTAGGTTAGCTGGAGTATCCAGATTATCTAGATATTGAATTTGATTAAAAGTTTGAATTCTGGCCTAGGTTTGGTGAGATCAATTGATGGTATCGGAACCGAACACTCATTAGATGGAGAACGATCAAATTGAGTTGTTGAACTGAGATGGTACTGGAATTGCTGCATTGGGCAATACTATGCGCATATAAAAAATGGATAGATGGATAAACTGTCGCATGCCGTTATTGATGTGAGGAATGCGACGTTGATGTTCGTATGACATGCTGGCGAGATGATGATGTGAAGTTCCAACGAACTGTCCAATTAGAGAGAGAATCTTTACCATTTGACTCATACCGATTGCGTGGATAAGAACATATGCACGTTGTTTCTATCCTGTCAAATGTCGTGTTTCTTTCCGCAGATGCATGAAATGGGTGGTTGAACGTTCGTGTTACCATGGAAAAGCCATAAGTGGAATGGATTGCGTTGACACGGGATTTTCAGTGGATAGAGATACGGGATAAAAGTAACGGATATAAAAATGATAGTAACGGAGGATGAAGGACAGACAACGGACATAGAGACGGGCGTTCCAAGTTTTGACCTTTTGACAGGATCAACTGCATTAGTTGGAGAGTGATTGAGGAGGATTCATACGAGGATTCGTATTGTGTACTTGCTCATAGGTGCCGAACGAATGAGGATAGTCCAAAGTCAATAATGAGTAACATCAATCGTCTCATGTCGAAAGTTCCAAGTTCAAAGCGACCCGATCATCAATCGCCGCATCTGTATCCGTATCTCAATGTTTGAGTTGGCTGGCTCGGATTCTCTCCTCCTCTTACTCAGATTAGTTGGCTGGGCTTAGACTCGCACTCCTTTTAGCCAAATCTTAACTAAGCACGCACGAGGAGGTAGGTGGGCTGAAGAGGTTGACGAGATTGATGAGTAGGTCGGTAGGTAAGGTTAAGCACTTCACTCCGAAGAACCTTGTTCGCCAAAATGGAAATGGAGTATCGATATCACATCTTTACGTTGCGTCTGGAGGGGGAACGAGATGCAGATATACGAGGGATACGAGGATAGAAACACTCACTGATACAGTAATCTCCAATATTGAAGGGCAAGCATATGGTGGCGTTTCAAAGGACATGGTGAAGAATGGATTCGATATGGATAGATAGATGGATGATCAGATACCTGACATTGTACAGAGTTATGAAAGATTGGGTTGATAATTGGTGAAACAAAACAAAAGATATAAATTGATTTCGAGTCGAGAGGTGGGTAGGTGGATGTGAAAGGTAGAGGTAAGAGGTAAGAGGTAGGAGGCAAGAGGCAAGAGGCAAGAAACAAGAGACAAGAGACAAGAGGTATTATTCCAACGCTTATTCTTACCTACACAATATCCTCGAGTCTTGGATGAAGAGTTCATCGTACTCGTACATACTAGGTACCTGGTCGTCGGAGTAGGATTAGACCAGAGTATGTGCCCAATTCGATGCAATTTGTGAATGGAGAACCAATCATTAGAGGATCTATCATATATCATACTTTGTATCCGCATTATACTTCCTTCCTGCGATGATACTTTCTCCTACCACCGTCGGTGCCTTTTTAATGTCCGACTTTTCTGGAGAATCGTACCAACCGAGTAAGGCAATTGAGGCCATTCAAGCAAATCAAGCAAATCAAGCACCACCATTAAGGTTACGTAGATGAGCAGATACTAGAGTACCAGATTCAAACACGACTAGATTCTTACCTCCTTCCTCTGTTCCTCCCCTTCTCCCTCCCCTTCTCCCTCCCCTTCTCCCTCCCCTTCTCCCTCCCTTTCTCCCTAGTCATTCCAAGATGATAACTTATGAGTACCTACCTACTCATAGGTGGGTGTTTATTACCCCAGTCATCAGTCACCATCCACCATCCATCATCCACCAACCTGGCCTAGTCAGAAACGGGCCATAAACGGGTTATTGAATCGCCCGCGCCTCGGGATCTAAGCATTCCGTTGGAAATGGAAAAGTTATGAAATAATCCAGATGGACTAGTTACTCTAAACTACCTAGGGACTTTTTATTACCTCCATATCGATTAATAAATAGAAAAATACATCTGGGGATGAAATATAATATAATACAATCAACCATCCCGTCCGTTTTTACATTTCTTTCCTTATCCTTAAGTTCGACTTCATTTCCATTTTGTACTTATTAATCGATTCAACTAACTAACCCATCAAAGGGTTTTCTAATAATACTCTCGTCGAAAATCTTATTCGTCCTTTTAATTAATTACATCAAAGTTCCTCCAAAACAAACACCTCGGAAACTTCGACAACAGTCTATTTATTGATTGAAGCTTTCTCCATCGTCGACACATGAGAGAAGAAGAATTACAATAAACTTTTAGGGTCGCATACAGTCCCTCCAGATTACATATATATACAACTTCAACATATTCCCCATCGATTCGTTTGCAAAGACTGTCGACGTCTACGAATCCATAATCTACATCCAAGCCGCCAATCATGGCTGGCGAATTGTCAGAGAAACCCCAGACCGCGGGGTCGGGGAGTCTGTCATCCATATCTGAACGCGATTCCACACACAATCAAAAGGTTGGGGGAGGAGAAAAGGTCGTGCCAGCGGAAGAAAATGATCTCTCAAAATTAGATACAAACATTATCAAGGTTGCAGCCAACAAGGATGAGGATATTTACGCACATCTACCTCCTCACGAGGCGGCAATACTGAAACGACAAGTCGAATTGCCAGAATTATCCTCGGGTGTGGGAAATCTTTATCGCTTCTCGACTACAAATGATATCATTATCATGGGTATCAGCGCCATCTGCAGTATCGCGGCGGGTGCTGCATTACCTTTGATGACGGTTATCTTCGGTCAATTGGCGGGAACCTTTGCAGATTACTTTGCAGGTCAATCTACGAGAGCGGATTTCGATCACACCATTAACCATATGGTTCTCTACTTCATCTACCTAGCCATCGCCGAGTTCACCACCATCTACATTTCGACAGTCGGTTTCATCTACGTTGGAGAACACATCAGTGGAAAGATCAGAGCGCAATACCTGGCGGCTTGCTTGCGCATGAACATTGGTTTCTACGATAAATTAGGAAGCGGCGAGA